AATGGCCACAATGAGGACTGACGTAACCAGCCGGCCCTTCAGCCGTTCACGGGGCACAAAGCAAGGCGACCCGCTCAGCTTCATACTTGGACCACTGGTCGCCGAATGGCAAGCCAAGGGCAAGTAGGTTTTAACGCCACCACTGCGCTCACCAATCTTCGCTTCGCCAACGACGTGCTCCTGGTCAGCCACACTCTCTCTCGCCTCGCTGCGATGCTCGACGACATTGCGAGTGCAGCACAACCACATGGAGTAGAGCTACACCCTTCCAAAAACAATATCCTGAACAACCAGACGAGACGGACTGGCAGAGCGAATTCACGCACGACGCGAGCCAAGGGCATGGACATCGACATCCTCCCACACGAGGGCAGTGTTAGATACCTCGGTCAACTCATCAGCTTCCACGACGCAATGGAGACGGACGTCCACCACCATCCAAGAGCTGCATCGGCGTCGTCCACTTCACGAAAGCAGGAGCTGACCAACAACCACTACCCACTGGCGCACCGACTCCGGCCCTTAAATAACACAATCAACCCAACAACACTCCACGGAACATAGACGTGGACGCTCACGGAACCTCTCCAGCAACACTTGCGGCGGACACAGAGACGCATGCTCCGCATGATCATCAGGATCCCGCGACGACGCGCCAGCTGCCAAACGGACCTTCGCTACAGCGACGATGCCGACGGCGCGGGCGACAAAGCACTGGGCAAAGACATCTGCGCCGACAGCACCAGCGACGACGTCAACAGCAACACGCCACCGCACCACACAGCTGCAACTCCAGACAAGCACAGCGACTGCGACGACGTCACCATCAATGTGGATATGGTCACGGATATAGAGCCTTGGGCCGATTACATTCAACGTTTCACGCCACGCGCAGAGCATCTCATGAATCACCACGGGATCAACAGTTGGACGACACAGGAGGAAGTCATGGCGCATGGCTACAAGGGCTGCCACCCACGAGCACACGAGGCGGACCTGGAGAGCACGACACTGGCATCCAGGAGACAACTCACGACAACAGGGACACCGCGAGCGAGGCGGACAGCGAAAAAACGCTGGGACGACGATATCACTACGCACCTACACCAACACATAGCCGACCTGCACCCGAAACCCACACCAACCACCCAAAAGGCCAACCCAACGACCACTGGGTACAATCGGCACAAGGCACAACCACTTGGTCGTCACTTGAGCACCAATACACCAAAGACGACACATGAAAGCACCTTCGTTGACAGCCGCATCCGCATCCACCACCAGGACTTCCACATTCAGGATGTCCTCCCTCCCCCTACCTTGACTCTTAGCTCTGTATTTGTCTCGCGGTCGCAGTGCATGTCTGAATTTTCCAGGAGGCCATGGCCTCCCCACCTGGTCTCAATTAGGCCAATGTGGGGCCATCAGGCTGCGAGGCGCGGAGGTTTCCCAGTTCCCCGTGCCAGTTCCACATCCAACATGTAGTCCTCGGTGGATGTCTGTCCTAACTCCACTCAGGGGGGAGCCCGAAAAGCACCCGCTAACCATCCCAAACCACATGATCTGAATTCGTGGGGAGGCTCTGGCACACATGAAATACAACAGGTTCGCGCCCTCGAGGCCACGATGCCTCGTACAGTACTCCAGGCTCGCGCTCCCCAAACCACTGTCCCTTGTAATCCACACCAGACTCGCGCTCCCCAAACCGAACTAACTTGCACCAAGCTCGCATTTCCCAATCAACTATCCCTTACAAACTACACCAAGCTCGCGCTCCCCGAACCGGCATCCTGCATGAATTGCACCAGGCTCGCGCTTCCCAAGCCATAATCCCCTTGCAAACTGCGCCAGACTCGCACGCCCCAAACCGAGGTCTCGCGTAAATGGCACCAGGCTCGCGCTCCCCAAACCACATACCCCTTGCACATTACACCAGGCTCGCGCTCCCCCAAACCACGATTCTTCGCAAAATGCGCCAGGCTCGCGCTCCCCGACCACCATCCCTTGTAAATCGCGCCAGGGTCACGCTTCCCAAGCCACACTCCCCCGCAAGTTGCTCCATGCTCGCGCTCCCCAGGCCACAACCCCTGGACACCAGGCTCGCACTCCCCAAACCACCATGCCTCGTGCATTATGCCACTTTTTCCCACTCCCCACACCACACTCCTTGTAAATTGCGCCAGCTTCGCGCTCCCAGACTGGCTCTGGGATCTTAGAGGCCTCCTAGATGGGGTGGGAATCGATGGGGCCAGAGGACTGCACCGCATCACCGATGTATCGCCGATGCATCGGCGATGCATTGGCGACGTCGGCGATGCATCGGCGACGTCGGCGTGGAGAAAATCGGGCTCCACATCGAGCCGCATCGCCGATGCATCGGCGATGCGTGCGCGTGCGCGTGCGCGTGCGCGTGCGTGTGCGTGTGCGTGGCGCGATCCTCCGACCCCATCTACTCCAATCCCATCTGGGAGGCCTACAAGTCTGGGAATGCGGATGGCGCGCGCCCCCCTCCCCGTCCAAAACGGTGACGGCCACGCCCCCGGTTTCCTCCCAGGCCGGCGGTGCCGAGAAGTCTGGCGGCGCCACGCCCCCAATCTTCCACCGGCTCGCGACGGCGACGTGGGGGGCGGACCCTGAGATCCGTCGTTGCGCAAAAGTTGCAGCATGATGAAAAAAATCGCGACCAGAGCTGTAGACCCCATCTTCATGCACCATCTTTTGAACAGCATCGATTTGCGAGGACCCTGGGGCCCGTAACTGGGCGAAAACGCCCAGCGCGAAAAAACTGAGCCGCCAGGATCTCAGGGGGTAGTGCACGCAGCCCCCCCCCAAGTCGGGCGGCGCCACGCCCCCGATCTCTCCGTCCGCCGCATCGGACTTAGTGGCACAAGCCGCGCCCCTCTTCCTGAAAGGGCCGCGAGCAGTGCACGCCCCGAGAGCTCGCTGCGCGAGCCAGTCGCGGACGCCGCGCCTGCGGTGCGGTCCCCCAGCAGGTCGCCCAGTGATGCTGCTTCGCACGGCCCGCCCAGCTGTGCCGCGAAGGCCTCCTCTGATATCTGGGCGTGGCAATCCTTCTACACTGGGCGAGCTTGCTGGGACCCTCGCAAATTGATGCGGCTCGAAAGATGCCGCATAACAATGGGTTCTAGGGCTCTGGTCGTGATTTTTCGCGACGCTGCAATTTTTCGCGAAATCGGATCTCAGGGTTCCGCGAAGCCCTCGAAAGCATGAACAAAGGCCACACCCAAACATATTACTCGCGCTGCGAACAATTATCCTGGCGAAAGTCCCAACCATATGCAGTTGTGGGTACCGTAATTGTGAATATCTGCTTCGGTGAAGCTCCCTATGGGGCCACGAAGCGCTGCACTGGGCGGGGGGGAGCGCTGTACTGTGTGGGTGGTGTGCCGAATTGGGTTTCAGGGACGCATGCGGACGGTCCCACTGAGGGCTTCGGTGGAGCTCCCTATGGGGCCACGAAGCGCTCTACTGAGTGAGTGAAAATGCCAAATTGGATTACCGGGACGCACGCGGACGGTCCCACTGGGGGCTTCGGTGGAGCCCACTCATGGGGACACGAAGCGCTGCACTGCTCGGATGAACATGCCAAATTACATTACCCGGACGCATACGGACGGTGGCACTGGGGCCTTGGGTGGAGCCCCCTATGGGGCCACGAAGCGCTGCACTGGTTTGGTGAAAATGCCAAATTGGGCTTCCGGGGCGCATGCGGACGGGGGCACTGGGGCCTTCGGTGGGGCTCCCTATAGGGCCACGAAGCGCTGTACTGGGTGGGTGAAACGCAGGGAGGAGGGGGAGGAGGGCCACGAAACGCTGTACTGGGTGTGCGGGACGCATGCGGACGGTAGCGCTGGGACCTCCGGTGGGGCTCCCTATGGGGCTACGAAGCGCTGTGCTGGGTGTAAGGGACGCATGCGGACGGTAGCACTGGGACCTTCGGTGGGGCTCCCTATGGGGCCACGAAACGCTGCACTGGGTGGGTGAAACGCAGGGAGGAGGGGAAGGAGGGCCACGAAACGACTGGGTGTGCGGGACGCATGCGAACGGTAGCACTGGGACCTTCGGTGGAGCTACCTATGGGTGCACGAAGCGCTGTACTGGGTGTGCGGGACTTATGCGGACGGTAGCACTGGGACCTTCGGTGGGGCTCCCTATGGGGCCACGAAGCGCTGTACTGGGTGTGCGGGACGCATGGGGACGGTAGGGAGGAGGGGAGGGGCACGAGAGGAGGAGAACGCGGGGACCGCCTCTTCAAAACGAGGAATCAACACCACAGGATGGTTGGGAAAAAACACGGCAGGAGGTACGGGCCGTTGCCGGCCTCTGGGTGCCCTCGCCAGGCCTCGGGCCTCGGGACCATCAAACCACCCAGGATGAAATGCCTGCACCAGGAAGTGGGTCCAGACCTCTGGGGGTCGACGTTGTGAAAATCACGGCACCGCCACCAGTCGCTCCAGCATTCTTCTCCGCGTTGTGACCCCCTGATGTGCAGAGCCCCACCCCGCTTTCTTCCCCGTTCCCCGCGCCCACCCCCACTCAGATCCACCGCGCCTCGCCCCACCCCACCAGCCATTGTAGTCATGGCATGAAAAGGAGGACCAGGAGAGGAGCGAGGCAGGAGAGCGGATAGGAGGGGAAAGGGGAGCGGGCGAGGGAGGAAAGGAGATGGGGAGGAAAGGGGAGAGGGCGAGGAAAGGAAAGGGGGGGGGGGAGAGAAGACGAGGAGAGAGGGAGGAGGAAAGAGAAGATGACGAGAGAGAGAGAGAGAGAGCACGGGAGAGGGGTCGGGCAGGTACTTCAGGGGAGGGAGCGGGGGAGGCTTGGAAGGGGATATGTGGAGGGAGAGAGGCGTGAAGGGGGGAAGGGGTGGACTGGATGTCGGTGTGGGGGGGGGAAAGGGGCCCCGTGGAGGCGGCGGGGGAGGTGCAGTGGACGTGGACTGCGCTGCGGCCGGCCGCTGGGGCAGAGAGGCGACAGGCCTGAAGGTCCTCGTACGTGAACTCCACCTTCGGCGGAGACAGGAACACCAGCGGCAGCATGCCCGCGAAGCACCCCAACGAAATGCCGAGCATCTTGCTGAACCTCGGGTGCGCCCTGGCAGCCCCCGATCCTGACCGATGCGCGTCCCGATGTCGAACGTCTGCTTCTTCAGGCGATGAGCTCCTCCTCCCCCTCCTCCTCCTCCTCCTCCTCCTCGTGCTTCTCCCCCCCTTACCCCTGCTCCTCGTCCTCCTCGTCCTCCTCGTCCTCCTCGTCCTCCTCCTCCTCCTCCTCCTCCTCCTCCTCCTCCTCCTCCTCCCTGTTTATCATTTCCCTGGACGAATTCTCCTGATCTGGATCAGGTGCGGCTACTATTCAGAAAGATGTCGCACTACCTTCCTGTCTAAACGGGGCACCGGGGCCTCCTCTCACAACCGCTTCCATTGGAACCGCTGCAATGAGGGCATCAACCGTGACCACAGGAAAGGGTCGGCCAATGTTCTCTGCAGATTTCTCCCCGCGGCGACGCTTTACTGCTTTACTGCCTGGCTGGAGCTTCCATGAGGGAGCCAGGCAGGGGAGGACATCACCTCATCATCATTGGGTGGAGTGGCGTGGTCTTTTTGTCTCTCTCTCTCTCTCTCACGTGCGAGCTTTTCTCTTTCGCTCTCTCTCTCTCTCTATGTATGCATGTCTCCCTGTCTCTCTCTCTCTCTCGCTCTCTCCCCCCAGGTGGAGATTGACATCCATGCATGTAGACATATGTATATGGGTGCTGTCACATTTCCCATGCGAAGACGAGCTCTTGGGGACAGAAACCGTTCAGGGTTATCAGCCTCCCCCCTGTACCCCTCTCTGGGCCTCCAACACCACAAACAACAAACACAAACAAAACACATCCACAGCGTTTCGTGGCACCGAGGGCGCCAACCACTGTGTACGTGAATTGTTTTGTTTTCTGTCTGAGAAGCAGTTGAACACTGAGTATGTTTGGTATGCTGTGCGTAGTTGATCTGGGATGATCCACTGGTCACCGCAGACAAACTGTGCTTCGCTGCTCCTCACACTCAAAAAACGCACACAGAGGCCCAAAGCCTTTCAGGGGGGCCCTGGCAGTCCGGGCGAGGCAGCTCGAAGGCTAACCTTGAATCGATTTTGGCGGCGCGCTCGCTTTGGCAAGCAGCTTACCGCGAGGTCAGGAGCTGCTTGGGCAGCTCTTCCCCCGTCGCAGCGCGCTGACCTCCCCCACTGTCAGATTATTGTTCTGCTGCTCTGGCGAGGCTCTCGGCCTGACATAACCCTGAGATCCGACGGCAGGAACAAAAATACAACATCGTAGACAGTCACGCCTGGACCCAATGTTTCTGCGCCGTTTTCCTAGCCAGCTCGATCTGTGAGGGGCCCGGAACACGAAACTGGTCGAACTCGCCCGGCTCGGAACAGAAACAGTGACCGAGCAATTAACGATGTTTAAAACGAAGTAGCGTTTTCAACGAACAACGGCACGAGGCCCAACGTTAATAACGAACAATTGCAACGAAGCCGGTGCTAAACGAAAACGAATGACGAAACGGGGCGTCTACAACTACAACGAACAACGAAACGACACAACAACGAACAACGTAGCGACAAACATAACACACGCCCAAAGAAAGCCAAACAGCGTTGTGGTCGGTCCTTGCGGAAAACATGATTGCGACGCCAGGATCTCAAGGAAGAAGCGCCACCGCCCCGGACCCCTCCGACGGCGACTCCGACGGCGACTTGCACAGGGTGCGACTTGCAACCGGCACGCTGGGGGGCACTCTTCGAGGTGGCACACAAAGGTGGGGCAGGGGCAAAGGTGGGGTTGGAAGGAAAATCGTTCCCGAAAGCCCCTGGAATAACAAAACGCGTTAGACGGGAGCATCCGGCTGGGCCCGTTCCCCAACCCCACCTTGGGATGACCCTCCCTCTACCAAAACCCGAACCCTGGGGGTCGGGCGGGGACCTTCACAGACCATTCCGCCACGCCCCGAAAAGGCCCGACGAGGACAGTGCTACGTCCCCCAGGCCCAGCGGCGCCGATCGCAAACCACACCCCAGCGCAAACAGACCCTTTGTTGTAGTCGTCGACTCTGGTGCTCAAAGGTCCGAGGGCCAGCTCAGCGCGGGCGCTGGGGCCGGAGAGGGCGCCAAAACGATATCCACCCGCTCCGATCCTGGGCCCAAGAGGCCGATCCCAGGCCTCGGGGTCGGTGGACGTACAGAAATGAACTCAGGGAGTCACACAAAATAGACACACGATCCAGGATTCCCGAATCTGTTCCCCCATTTCTTGGATGTTCGTCCTCCCCTCCACGTCTCATATTTCCCGATATTTTTCCTGGGGATCGACGTTTACTTGTGTCTGCATTTTCCCCCTCCTAGATACGCGCGCCCCTGCCCAGACATCCTCACGCCGTGTAGAAATCACGATGCGAGGTTTTTGTTGGGCCGTGTTCGGCCCCTGGGGGCCCTCGCTGGGCCCTGAGACCGTCCAAAAACGGCTCGGGATGAAGAGACGGCCCTGGAGAAGGGGTCGGGACTTCCGGGGGACCCCACATGGAAAAAAAGAACAGACACCGGATCTCTGGGTACGGAAAATTTTGGACAACTTTCGGCCTCTCGGGGGTCTCGCTGAGCCCTGGGGCCCACGCCGGGGCCCTCGCCTGGGCCCAGTGCCGCCCAAAAACGACTTGGCATGACAAATCTGAAGACCGAGAATACTTCCTGGACCGATGGGGAGCTATGTCGTGAAAGAAGTCACGACGTCAGGTGTCTGGGAGGGAGTGGCAAGGAAGGGCTGGCCAGGACAGGATGAGGACAGCCAGCGTCCTCCAGATCGCTCCGCTCGGTTTCGTTCCCAGATATCCAAAGATCTGACTTTTCAATGCGTGGCCACAGAGGGCCCGACCCCTTCCCCGCGGATACTTCTTCGTCCTGGATTCGTTTTTGAGAAGGCCGAGGGCGAAAAGAAACACCGGTTGACAAAATCATATCGCCCGATGTCTGGGGGAAACTGGGATCGCCACGGGGGGTGCTAAGGGGATTGGGCGGTCATGAACGGATGTCAAAGCGGTTAGATCTGGCCCAAGTGGATGTCAACGGATGGAGGAGAGGTTATGGAGGGATCTGGTTATATCTGCTCATCCCTGTCAAAGGAGGTCATGAACGGATTTCAACGGAGCCTAATGGATTTTTTCGTTCATCCCCTAAGCTGCTTGGGCACTCGTGACCCACTAACTAAGAAGCCAGCCTGGGCCAAATACAGCCGCCTTGGCTTCCGCGTCTAACCCCCGCGGAGGTCCCAGGAGGGCCTGGCCACGGCTGGCAGTGGTGTGTAGACCCCGACATCCTCCAATCTGCTTCTCGTCCGCGGCCCCACGAGGTCGCGACCCCTTCCCAAGGGGCAGTTTTGCGCCCTGGATCCGCCTTTGTTGGCCTCGGGGCCCGATGGCAGGCCCCGGAGGCCGACATTCGGGTCGGGCGAAAGGGGGGGATAGCAAAGGGGGGGTTTGAGAATCAGCTCACGTAGCTGATTTTCCAGGCGCCTCCCGGCGCCGGAGGCGCCCATGTATCGAGGAATGGGCCCCTCGGTGAAGCCGAAACCAGCTGCAAGCAGCAAATTTCGTAACCCCCCCTTTCCCAATCCCCCCCTTTCGCCCGGCCCGAGACATCGAGGACACTCGCCTGCCTTCCAAGACCTTCTCGTCGGAGCTCTGGGGAGGCCGGCCTCCGAGATCCCCGAGGCCCCTCTGTGCGCCGAGCAGCTGCACGAACTTCGCCGTGCTGCCGTTCAGCTGCGAGGGCGTCAGGCCTCGGTCCGGGGCGGCGCGGAGGCGCCCCGCCGGCGCACCGGCGGGCTCTTCTTGGCGGAGCGGGGACGCAGCGCGCACCCAGACATCTGGGCGACGACGGAAAGCGGGTCTTACGCGAGAGGTCAGAGCGATCTCTCGCGGCTGCTTAACCAGGAAACTACCAGTTCAGACATCTGGGCAAGCGTTTCGAACCTTCTGCAGACAAACCTGGGCCAACTGTTTTGGTTCACGCTGGAGGGGCGAGCGTGCTCAAGAAACTGGGCCAGCTTTCCAGGAACTTGGTAAAGAAACGCTGGCCCAGCTTTTCGGGAGGATGTTTCTTATCCCAACGCTCCACCGTGTATTTGTTTCAATCGGGGCATGCTTCCTCCACTTCGGCCCCCGGGGCCCGTTATCGGACCCCGGGGCCAACAGGCATGGATCCGTGAGGAAAGACTACCCCCAGGCCAGGAGCTCATTGCGCCGCGGACGAACAGCAAAGCACATCGGAGGACGTCTGGGTAGCATCGGCAGGCGTACGCTGCCCCTTTCTCTCTGCCTGTCCCCCTGCCGCCCGCCCTCTGTTCCGCCTCCTCCTGCTGCTCCTCCTCCTCCCCCTCCTGCTGCGCCTCCTCTCTCCTCCCACTCCTCCTCCTCCTGATCCTCCTCCTCCTTCTTCTTCTTCCTCCTCCTCCTCCTTCCTCCTCCTCCTTCCTCCTCCTCCTTCGTCTCCCTCTTCTTCCTCCTCCTCCTCTTCCTCCTCCTCTTCCTCCTCCTCCTCCTCCCTCTCGTCCCTCCCCCGGCGGCTCCCTCCCCCTCCCCTCCTCGCCCGCCCTTCCCCGGCCTGCCCGCACGGCCGACCAGCTTTTCGCCTTGCGCGGATGGGTGCCTGAAAGGGGGACCGCCCAGCGAATTGCACCCTGCACCGGCGTGCGGCACCCCGCCGGGCGTGCGCGGCTCCTGCGGGTGCTGCTGCCCGCTCGCCGCTCTGGCGCCGACGCCTCCTCCACCCCCTCGCGTTTCCCCCCCCCCCCCCCCCTCCCCTCCCCCTCCCCGTCACGTCCCCAGACCCTCTCGCGTCATGAAAAAAAACACGACGGACGGTGCTGTTCCCTATCCTCGGCCTCCGAACGTCCTTGCAAGGCTTCCCGGCCGTCCGAAAACGGCTCGGGATGAGAAGGCCCGTCCGGCCGGGGAAGGGGTCCTGACCTCTGGGAGCCCACGCTGTCGAAAGAAAATCTTGACGCCGGGGTTTTGGCACACACGTCTTGGCGCATCCGAAGCCTTGGATATCTCCCCGAGGGGGGTGCTTTCAAACCAGAGCTCCCCCTCCTTCTCCTCCTCCTTCCCCTCCTCCTCCTCCTCCTCCTCCTCCTCCTCCTCCTCCTCCTCCTCCTCCTTCTCATCATCCATGCCTACCTCCATCTCCACCTCACCCCCATCAGCCCTCCCGTTCACCTCCTGCCGCTGCCCCTCATCCTCCCTCTCCCCCCCTCCTCCCTCTCCCCCACCTCTTCCACCTCCTCTTCGTCCTCCCCGTCCTCCTCAACCTATTCCCACCCCTTGTCCTCCTACTTAGTACTTGTCCTCATCCTCTTCAGCTCCACGGCCGCGCGACACAACCTGAACACGGAGGCGGTAGGTGGCCGCAGCTGCATCAGCGCATCGAAAAGACGGCGCAGCGCGAGTCGTTTTCCCCATTCGCCAGCGCGCGCGCTTCCGATCGCCGCGGGCCCGCGACTGGCGACCCGTCGGCGGGCGCTCAGGCGTCGTGCTCAACCTTCTGAACGTCCGTGGGGAACCCCTCCCTCATCTGCGCCACGATGGACCCGGCCACACGCAAGAGCTACGCTACGCACTTTGAGACCCTGCGGTTCGGCGGTCTGGCCCCTGAGCGTCTCCATGGCGATGTGGGATGGGAGGCGGGCACTACTGAACTGAAGAATCGAGGTGTCCTGGCGTACCGATGTCGTGCAGTTCAGAGTACTGCCCCCCTCCTGTCGCCATGGAGACGCTCCGAGGCCCGATCGCTGAACTGAAAGATCTCGAAAGGGGCGTGAAAACAAACCTCTGGACTGTGGCTCGCCGACCGTTGCATGCGGCGTGGCAGCAGCGGCCTGCCTGCTCTGCCTGCTGGGGCCGCGCGCGCTGCCCCGTGCATTTGTACGGGACAAGGAAACGAACCCAGGTTCACCGAGACCGACGAAAAACTGTTCGGCCAAGAAGAGGCATGTTTTCTGAACTGTCGGCGCAAGTGTATTAGAACGCTCGAGCGAAACGCTCGTCAGGAATTGCTCCGACGGTGGGACCCACCGTAATAATCCCCCAAACTAATTATCCCGGCAAAGCAACCTAACAGCGATGTGTAGGAGCATATCTGGAAGCATTCCCCTTCAGATTCAGATGAGAATCCAGTTGTAGAATTCTGCTGTTCTCGCAGTCGTAGTCGCATCCGCGATGACAGTCGCAGTGGCAACGGCAGTCGCAGTCACAGCCTCAGCCTCAGCCTGCCTCAGCCTCAGCCTCAGCCTGCCTCAGCCTCAGCCTGCCTCAGCCTCAGCCTCAGCCTGCTTCAGCCTCAGCCTCAGTCTGCCTTCAGCCTCGGCCTGCCTCAGCCTCAGCCTGCATCAGCCTCAGCCTCAGCCTCAGCCTGCCTCAGCATCAGCCTGCCTCAGCCTCAGCCTCAGCCTGCCTCAGCCTCAGCCTCAGTGTGCTTCAGCCTCAGCCTCAGTCTGCCTTCAGCCTCGGCCTCAGCCTCAGCCTGCCTCAGCCTCAGCCTCAGGCCGGCCGCAGCCTCAGCCTGCCTCAGCATTCAAAATGTGGCCCAGGAATGCAATTCTGGGAACTAGAAGAACACGAGGTGGTCTACAGTTGGCTCCGGGCATTCAAAATCATGGAGTTCTGGGAACTGAAGACACGAAGTGGCCTACAGTTGGCTCCGGGCATTCAAAATGTGGCCCGGGAATGGAGTTCTGGGAACTCGAAGAGCACGAAGTGGCCTACAGTTGGCTCCGGGCATTCAAAATGTGGCCCGGGAATGGAGTTCTGGGAACTCGAAGAGCACGAAGTGGCCTACAGTTGGCCCCGGGCATGCAAAATGTACGCCGGGAATGGAATTCTGGGAACTCGAATGTAACTCGAAGAACACGAAGTGGCTTACAATTGGCTCCGGGCATTCAAAATGTACGCCGGGAATGGAGTTCTAGCAGCGCCAAGAGCGATTTTGCGAGGATGTCCCAAGCGATTTGGGCTTCGACGGCAGCCGCTCTGGGTCCCGTTCCGGGTCCCGCCCCGACCCCCCTGAGGAGTCATGATGCTCTTTTTTGACCCCACTAGAAACCTATCAATCTTCGCTGTTAAGTAATGAAAAAATGACCTCGCAGTCGTTGTGAATGCACGGGCTCTTTTCCCGTCTCCTCATCGCCCTTCTCCTTTCCGCCCCGGCGGAGGCCCACTTCCCGCCCGGTGCTTTGCCTCCTCTTCGTCCTCATGCCTATTCTTCCTCATCCACCTCCTCCCCTGCCTCTCTAACAAGGGCACGCAATCCAATTTTCCTTAGCGCCATGGCCGCCGCCGCCGGCGGGGGCGCGTTCTCCGATGGCTAGACCGCGAAACCACTGGGGCAACCCAGCGGGTCAGGCCGTTGGGGCAACCACGCGAGCCGCTGGGGCGCGGGGGCAAAACGATGGGGGCAACTCCGCAGGCGTCGAGATAGTCACGGCCGCGCCCGGGCGGGAGGCAGCGCGAAGCCAAGCTCTGTCGCGAGCTGCCCCGCCTGAGCCCTGAAGTTCATCGCTCTCATGTCGAACTCCCAGAGCGCCTTCCGCAGGGGCACGGGCGGCCGCAGGGCCGGCGTGTTCCGCGCGCGCGCGGCGCGGGGGAGCATGGCGTGGAGGCGCAGCCGCCGTTGCTCGTCGGACATGTTCGTGCGGCCAACGGCCTCATCCGTGGCGCAGTCGCTGGCGGCGACCTTGCGCGGCGTCTGGCCCTGCGACGGCGCGGGGGTTAGGTGGGGCGCGCCCGCCGGGGTGAACGCCGAGCCCACGCGCGAAGTGCGGCCCCGAGCTCTGCTGCGTGAGCTTCTGCTCGCTGGGCCTGAACATGAGCATGCTTCTCGCCCGCGCCTCGGCCTCGCCGTCGTCGTCAGCGTCTTCGGCGCCCTGCACCGCCAGCTCGGCGACTGCCTTGTAACTCGGTAACTCCTGCAAGCCGCGCACCTGCATCCAAATTCCCTGCGGTAGAAAGCGGGGGCGAAAGACCTGGACTGGCGCGCTCTCCTCGCGCTGCTGCTGGTCGCCTGGGTGAAACTCGAGGGGCGCGACGGTGGCCCGTTGCTCCCGCGCGAGCCCAAAATTCTTCGTCAGCCCCCCCTGCGCGGCCGCGATCCGAACCTCCGCGCCGACGTGCGCCGGTAAGACGCCGTGAAATTTCAACCGTCTGGCGCGTGTTCGGGACGTTCAGGAAGCGCCGGCCGCGTCGGGATCGCCTGGGATGGCGCTGCACTCGTCCACGGTTTACAGGGAAACCAAGGGCGCGCTCAGGCGCCGCGCGTCGCGACGAGAGCGTGGGTTGATCCCCCTCGCCAGCGTCTCCCAGTAGATGCCCATGCCGTAGCCGAGGCGACAATTCTCGCCGAGGCGACAATTCTCGCGCTGGTGCCGAGGGCCCAAGACGCCGCGGTTGTCCGAGGACAGCGTTTTCTCCCAGGCGGACCAGACCTCCGGAGGGAAGGGCTCGCGCTCGCGCGTGATGCCCAGAATCTTGATCAGACGGCCCCCGGGCTCGATTCGCTTCGTGCCCTCCAGCTCGAAGACGCGCAGGCTCTGAGAGAGGACCTCGGTGGCGTGCTGAATCTCGACCGTCGGTGGCTTCGCGTACTTGTGCGACCCGTCGTCGAGAAGCTCGTTCCCGTCCGTCAGCAGGCCGATGCTGCCCGCAAGCTTCAGCTGCAGGAAATCGCCGGGCGCAAAACGATGGGAACGCGCCCGAAGTGGTGGCGCGGCGGCTAGTCGGTGGACTCATGCACGTCGCGCGTGTCATGGCAGGCGCGAAGGTCCAGCGCGTTGGGCAGCGCGGCCGCCACCATGCTAACCTTCTCGGTGGCAAGGAATGCGAACGTGCCCCCCGCACAACCACTTCGAACTCTTTTGGGTGTCCCCCAGCCTCATCTTTCTTTTGATGCATTTCTGGAGCCACAGAGCACAGGCGTTGTTTAGCGTTCTGGCTTTCACCGTCTCCGTGGGAATGTCTTTTGCCTGCGCGTTCGAGAAAGCCGCGATCATCATGGTGGCAATGTCCAGGAACCGTTTTGGCCCAGCAGGAGCAAGTGCGTGACTTTTCTCTGGCTCCAAGGCTTCTTCTAAACGTTGTCCTCCCAAGCTGCGTCGCAAGCCCTTGTGAACTTGGTGACGAAGGGCGTCGCGTCCCGGGTGATTCTCTGGTCCCCCGGTAACCCTGCGACCAGGGCGACGATGAACGCGCTGGGCGTCAAATGCGCACTGCTTCCTCGCCCGCGGTGTCGTCGACGCCCACGTCATCCTCATCGCGACTGCCCTGGACGCGGTCGTGGTGCTGGGTCGCGAAAGAGTGTCTCGCTTCGCGCGACGTCTTTACCGAAGGTCAGTACCCGGCTGCGGGCGAAGGAGCGGTCGCTCGGGCACGACCCCTCCGTCGCAGGCTGCCTCGAACATGCACGGGAACGCGAAGAGCTCTTGGCCAGATTGGCAAGGCGCTTGCAGCGCGCGAAGTTTAGCACGTCGTCAGCCATATCCGTTTTGTTTATACCCCACATCGACTCAGGCTCACAGACGAGGCTCCCGCCTGAGACTTCCTCCAAACTACAATTTGAAAAGGCCAGAAGGGACAACAGTTACAGGGCTCGGACGACCCGCTCGGAATAATAACATGAGCTGCGGGCCCAGTAAGGCATCATACTTCCTCGCAATTCAATCACAGAAAAGGCTCCCGCGTGAGACTTCCTCCGTACGCACGCCTAAGTGACGACGGTTGCAAGTTTCCGATGGCCCGTTCGGATTAGCAGCGTGAGCTGCGGGCCTCACTGGGAGGTGGCCTCTCGCCAAAAACTTCCTCAATCACCGACGAGATTCCCGCCTGCGACTTCCTCCATACTCAAGCATGAAGAAGCCAAGGGTGATGACATCTACAAGCTTCCGATGACCCGCCCGGATTAATACAATGCGCTGCGGGTTCCGTAGGGAGGGGGCTCCCGCCTGAGACCTCCTCGCAGTTCAATCATAATAGGCTCTCGCGTGAAACTTCCTTCATACTCAAGCTTGAAGAGGCCACGCGTGACGACAATTGTTGGGTTTCGATAGCCTGTTCGGATTAATAAGCGGCCCCCATGGGCAGGAGGGGCTAGAGCCTGAGACGTCCTTAACATGGAGGTATGTGTGTGCGATAATGATGCGGATTATGATGAGGATGATGCTGATGATGATGCCATGGTTAATGATGCGGACGATCAGCATGTTGTTGATGAGAATGTTGATGATGATTATGACGCTGACGGTGGTGCGAGAATGATCATAGCAATGACGATGGAGTTTTGGCCATGGTGAAATCGTGATCGTGGTGATTGTGGTACGTATGATGATCATTGTGATGCTGGTGATAGTGATACTGATGGTGATGACGATGCGCGATGATGATACCAATAAGGATGACGATGCCATTGACGATGATGATGATGATGATGATGATGATGATGATGATGATGATGATGATGATGGCGACGATGTGTGTGTGCGTGTTTGTTCCACATGCGCACTCATGAGTGTGTTTCACTGGCGCACACATGAATGAGTGTGCGTGAGTGCGCAAGCGTGTGCGATGATGATGCTTATGCTGATGCTGATGGTGATGACGACGATGATGATGATGATGATGATGATGATGATGATGATGGTGGTGGTGGTGGTGGTGGTGGTGCCGCCAGAGAAAACACGAACCCCATTTAGGATGTGGATGGGGACCATCTCACAGTCTCCCAGGTGGGGTCTGGATAGATGGGTTCGGAGGGTCGCGCCGCATCGCCGATGCATCGGCGATGCAACGGCGATGCATTGACGACCTCGGCAATGCAGCGGCGACATCCGCGCGGAGAAGATCGGGCTCCACGTCGAGCCGCATCGCCGATGCATCAGCGATGCAGCGGGATCCTCCGACCCCACCTGCTGCGACCCCATTCGGCAAGCCTCGACTGGCGAAGCGCCAGTACGGACCAGACACGCACACGTATGCGGAGATCCGGGCCACTCCGGCGAAGGGCCGCCCCTGCGAGCCGCCGAGATGGGCGGGTGCAGGCAGTAGCCCCGGGGCCGCATGGTGAACTCCTGCTCGCCCTCTCTCGGCGGCCGGAGGCCTGAGGAGCAGCGAAGCAGCGCTGCGGTGACGGCATTGGAGAAGGAAGCCTTCGATAGGGAATCCAGGGCCTGGAAGCCTGTGGAACTCCAGATCGTGGACCGGTCACGGATTTCACCGCCGTCCTCATTGCATGAAGGATCCTCCAGGGCCTGGCGCCTCCTGGGACTATTCCTGCACGAGTGCCCCCACCGTATGGGGGGGGGGACCGCGGAGGTTGCTGAGGGGAGCGGGGGGTCATGAGCGGATGCCAATGTGGCTTATATCGGCTGTCAGGGGCCGCCGACGCGGGCGCGAAATAATGGGCGGGGGGCGGTAGAAATGGGGGGGGAGAAAAATGCTAGTTTGGGCGCTGCAGACGCCCTGTGGGAGCCCTAAAAGGCCCCGTGAGGGGCCCTACGGGGCTCCTTTCTGCAGCCTTCGCTGCCCCCTCGTTCATCGCTCCCCCCTCACGCACCCCTCAGCCGTTGGGCCGCCGAGAGCCTCCAGTCGCAAATGGCCACGGGCGTGGTCGCCGCAGGCCGCCAGACTGGGATCGACGTGGGGGATGATGAAGGGATAAAGGGGGCTACCAGCGGGATGCCGAGGTGGGTTGTGTCTGGCCCGACCTCGATTTTGAGTGGGTTAGAGGTGGTCCAAATGGCTCCATCAGGGCCGTGAAATACCTCCGCTAAGTGGGCGGAGCCCACTCAGCGCGGATCGCTGGCCCCCCTAAAGCCAGTTGGGCATGTGTAGCCCACTTATTAGCCAGGTTGGACCGTATATGATCTTGGGCTTCGGGCCCACGGCCCCCCACCCACATGGGATGGGTCTCAGGGTCCATCGGGCCCTCCACCCCTCACCCCGCCCCCAAATGGGATGGGGGGGCGACGACGACGACGATGATGACGACGGACGACGACGACGACGACGACGAGAACGACGACGGACGAGGACGAGGACGAGGACGAGGACGGTGACGACGACGAGGACGACTGATGACGCACGACGGACGACGGAAGACGGACGACGGACGACGGAGGACGACGACGACGACGATGACGACGAAGACGACGATTGAGTGCGCACTTGACTTCATCGGAGGAGTCCAGCCCAAACTACTGGTGGTTACGGCTGCTATGCACGATTACAGATTGGCACCTCCCGTCTGTCAATGTGTAGCAGATTCACGTCACGCCTTGCACGGCGATGCCTGTGCCGATGCCGATGCCGATGCCTACGCTGATGTCGTCGTCGTCGTCGTCGTCGTCGTCGTCGTCATCGTCGTCCTCCTCCTCCTCCTCCTCCTCCTCCTGCTCCCCCCTGAGGGGGGGGGAGGGCCGGACCCCATACCCACCACGCCACGCCCACCGGGGGGGCCCATCGCGCGGTGGGAGAGGGGATGGCCGATGGCATCAGCCTCAGGGAGGGTGGCACGGACCCTGGATCATACACACATGTATGTATGTGTATATATATATAGATCGATAGATAGATATATAGATCGATAGATAGATAGATAGCTAGATCGATAGATATATATTTAATATATAGATATATAGATATATAGATAGATAGATATATAGATATACAGATATATAGATAAATCGATGTTTAGCCAACTTGGCATCCACTTGCACCCCCCGATCCTCTTAGCAACCCTCGCGATCACCCCTGCAGGGGGGGGGGCCAGCTAAGGGGGGAACTTCGACCTGGAATCGGCGACGCACCGGCGAAGGTGAGAGGCTCGAGGTTTAAGGTTTGAGGTCTTCGAACGTCGTCGTGGGTTCTCGGCGGCTTTCCAGCCTGGGGATGCCTTCCTGCGGCTGCGCCTCGCCGAGGGGCGCCTACGGCTGCCCCGTTCGTCCCGAACAGCCGCCGGATGCCCGAGTCATGACCCGAAAACCACCAGGGGGCAGTTCAGGGGGGGAAACATCGAGCTGGAATCGGCGATACATCGCCCACAGATCGGCGAGGGGTCCCCGATAGCGAATCTGCATGTTCCTGGGCGGGGTGGGCTGTGAAGCCCCCATCGGCCATCATGAGGCGATTGGGGGCCAACGCATCCGGACATGGGCCTATCGCCCCTTACCCAAGCACCCGACATCATGATGTGTTCATGACGTCGATCCCCGCAGTCTCGACTTCTTCCCCGGGACCGGCTTTTCATCCTGAGTCGTTTTTTGACAGTCCCAACGCCTGGTAAGGATCCCCAAAGGCTGAACAACAAGGAAAACCTTCCGTCATGATTTCTCCATGATCCAAGGGGGTCTGCGAACGTTGCCCCTGAAGGCCCTCGCGGAGGGACTCGTCGTTGAGGTGGGTGTCGACCTGCCAATACATGGGCACGCACACCTCCAGGCACGCCTTCGCCCCTGCCTGTCGGGTGGAAGCAGCAGCAGCACTGGCAGCTGCACCGGCCGCAGCACCAGCAGCAAGAGGACAGGGCGGGAGCCAAGCACCGAAGACGAGGAGCCAAACCCACCCAGAGATCCGACGTCGTGACTTTTTCAATACGGGGTGCCTGGAAGTCTCGACCCGTTCTACAGGACCAATTTTCCATCCTGAACAGTTTGTTGACGGTCCCAGGGCCCAGCGAGGGCCTCTAGAGGCCGAAACCGGCGAAACACCTCCGTCTCGATTTTTTCAATACGCTGGATCTCTGGGCAGACATCCGACGTCCTGATGCTGTTCATGGCGTGGGCCCCCCGAAGTCCCGGCCCCCTCTCCCCTGGGGCCGGCTTCTCATCCCGAGCCGTTCCCTGACGGCCCCTGGGGCACAGCGAGGGCCCATGGAGACCAAAAACTGCGAGGAACCTCCCGCCGTGATGCCCTGAGATCCGATGCAGCGGAAAAACTGCACCATCGTGCAATCTTTCGACCAGAGCCCATCTTTCTGCGACACTTGTCTAGCCGGATCAATCTGCGAGGGCCCCGCGGGGCCCGAAATAGGGCGAAAAAGCGCCCTGGGTGAAAGCTTGCAACGCCCGGGCCTGAGGGTTTTTCTTCACAACACGAGCATGTCTCAGGACCGGCAGCATCACGAGGGAACCCTCTGGCGGCCTTCGGCGCCCACACCCGAGGCCCATCGGCGGCCCATCGGAGGCCCTCGTCGTCGTCGTCGTCGTCGTCGTCGTCGTCCCCAAACCTGCGCGCGTCTTGAACATACCATTACCCGGGGGCCTTTGGCTGTGCTCGGCCCCCAGGGGCCCCCGCCCCTCGCCTTGGCCCCACGACCGTCGCACAACGACTCGGGATGAAGGCCCAATCCTGGGGAAAGGGCCAGGACTTCGGGGGACCCCGTATCCAGACATCCAGCGTCTCGACTGCTTCGAGACGCGGCCCCCCGACCGTCGAACAACGACTCGGGACGAAGGCCCAACCCTGGGGATGAAGGCCCAGGCCCCGGGGACCCCGTATCCAGACATCCAGCGTCTCGACTGCTTCGAGACGCGGCCCCCCGACCTCTCGACCCCTGTCCCGGGACCGGCTCTTCCTCCTGGGCCGTTTCTTTGACGGCCCCGACAAGCCCTGTACGGCAGGTTCGTGTTGTATCGACCCGTGGGTTGGTTCCTGACACCGCGCGGATCGTTCAACCTTGAACGATCAGCCGTTTCCGAAACGTCCAAATCGTTCCACATCGAACGATTCTGGGTCGCCCGCGGCGTTCAACGTTGAACGCCGGCAGGGGGGTCGCCGCCGGTCGACACCACACGAACCTGCCGTAAAGGCCTCGAGAGGCCGAAAAAAGGCACAGCCTCCGCCTCGTTTTTTCCGAGACGCTGGATGCCCGGGTACAGTGGAGGCCAGTCCACAAGAAACCATCCGCAAGAAGCCAATCCCTGAGACCGCAGGACGTCCATTGATGTTTGGTGTGGGAACGCCGCGCTTTCGACAGCAAAACCATCGGAACCCGAGAAGCCCTGGGCACCCTGGAGGCAAGCAGGGTGTTTCTTGGCATGGGCCTCCACTGCAGCGATAAAGCCAAGACGCTGCAATCCTGGGCCCATGCACGCCCTCGCCCCCGGCCTCCTGGAGCGGCAGGCCTCGAGCCGACAGTTCGGGCCGGATCGCAGCGTGCGTCGGAGCGTGCATCGGATGCCCACGGGGGTCGCTCGGGGGAACGGGGGTCACAGGCGGAGTGATCAGGTGGGTGATATCTGACTCGACCTGGCTTGCAGGTCAGGTTGGTTGCAGATGCCCCAGGTGGCTCAAAGGGGTGAGATAACTCCGCTGAGTAGGCGGATCCCACTTCGCCCGGGCCGTTAACCTCCATACTTACGCCACCTGGGGCACTAATCCATTTAGAAGCCATGCGGGGCCAGATATAACCACATTGAGATCCGCATATCAGCCCACTATCCGCTTGGCAACCCCCGCGGCTATCCCAGCACAGCGTCGAGATCGGACTGGATCGACCGCGTCGAGATGCGCAATCCCTGAGATCCGACGCTGAAAGAAATTGCAACATCAAAATCAATCACGCCGCGCGAAATGACCCGGCGCGAACAAAATGCGACGCCGGGATTCTACGGACAGCGCCATGTAAACATCGGGCCGCATCGGGTCGTCGGAATATCAGGATCGGGCTGTCCGCCAGGCCAAAACCAGCATCGAATCGGATCGATCGCGCCGGTCGAATCGAAATGGGCGCTGGCCTCGTTCACGACGTACGCGGTGGTCTCCCGGAAGCCCTTGTAGAGCCTCCTGACGCCGCGCCCGACTGGGTACAGGTGCTGCTTGTGCATCAGGTCCTGTCCGCCCAGGTAGACGAGCTCCCAGTCCGACGGTACGTGAGACAGGCGCTCGAGCAGGACCTCCTCGCTGAAGCCCTCTGCGAACTCGCAGTCGTCCTCGATGACGAGAAATTTGGAGTCGGAGCTGGCCGTCCCCGCTGCACACTGCTGGAGGATGTCCTTCCATATCATCATGTGGGACAGGGCGCAGCCGATGCCACCGTCGGTGAGGTCCGTGCCGAAGAGCTTCATCTCGGTCGGCAGGTAATATCTTGGCATCGCCTCCTTCGCGATGATGCCAATCTCCGCCAGGTGAGGCACGTCCAGAGTCCGCCCGTCAACCGCGCTGAAGCGCTGCACAGGCAGCTGGAGCTTCTCGAACTGATCCTGCATGAAGCTCCAGCGCTCGGGGCGCCTGTCCAAGTTCACGCAGTACACCTGTAGACCCGACGCCACGGGACAAATGCAACATGATACAAATCACAACCAGAGCTCTAGACCCATGGCATTTTTTCGGGCTGTATCGATCTGCCAGGTTCCCGAGGCCCGAAGTGGGCCGAACTCGGCATGCGTGAAAAAATGCGACGCCATGAGATTGTGATCGTTTCCGGTTACGGTCGTTACCTGGAGGGGGTGGCCCAGGGGAGGGAGCCCCGGGTAATTGTAACGCTTGGGCGGGCACGTCGGGGCGGGGGTGCGCCGCGATCGCTATCGTATGCGCGCGAGCACCAGCATGCGGGGGGTGGTCCAAACCTCCACCCTACGACGCACGACCGTTACCGTTACTCAGGGGGTGGAAGGGAGGGGAGGGGTTTGCCTCAGGCGGCAGCGACGGCCGTTACGGGACAGAGGAAACAAACATAACCTCCAGGATCTCACCCTGAGATCCGGGCGTTGCGCTTCTTTCACAACAGTCGTTTTCGCCCAGTTCCCGCCGCCGATCGATCCTCACAGATCGGTCCGGCTCGAAGCACGCCGCAAAAAGCTGGGGTCTAGGGCTCCGGCCCCAGACATCTGGCGTACACACGTCCACACGTCCTCGACCTCTCGGCCACTTCCCAAGGACAATTTTTTCATCCCGAATCGTTTTTTGACGGTCCTGGGGCGCGCTCAAGGCCCCCAGGGCCGACAACGATCAACAAAACACGCGTCAAAACACGCGTCTCGACTTTTGTTCGAGACGCTGGAAATCTGGGGTCGTGATTTGCCTCGGTGTTGCAACTTTTTCGCGTCGTTGGCTCTGAGGGCAGGGCACTGGTCTCTGGCGCTGGGACCCTCACAGATCGGTCCAGCCCGAAAAACGCCGCAGAAAGTCGGGGTCTAGGGCTCTGGTCCCAGACCTCCAGTGCAGGTGCCGCCATGCGGACGCTGCCAGAAGGGCCTTCGGTGGACACCCATGAATGGGACCACGACACGTGTGAGGGGAGTGCTGGAATGGGTGCGGTGCCGCCATGCGGACGCTGCCACTGGGGCCTTCGGCGGAGCTCCCTATGGGGCCACGAAGCGTGTGAGCAGTGCGCCGAAAGGGGTGCGGCGCCGCCATGCGGGCGCTGCCACTGGGGCCTTCGGCGGAGCTACCTATGGGGCCACGAAGCGTGTGAGGGATGCGCCGACATGGGCGCGGTGCCGCCATGCGGGCGCTGCCACTGGAGCCATCGGCGGAGCTCCCTATAAGGCCACAAAACGTGCGAGAGGAGTGCCGAAGTGGGTGCGGTGCCGTTGCGCGGACGCTGCCACTGGGGGCTTCAGTGAAGCTCCCTATGGGGCTACAAAGTGGGTGTGCCGAAGTGGGTACGGCGCCGCCATGCCGCCATGCGGACGCTGCCTCTGGGGCCACGAAGCGTGTGAGGGGTGTGCCAAGATGGGTGCGGTGCCGCCCTCTGGGCGCTGCCACTGGGGACTTCGGCGAAGCCCCCAATGGGGACTTGGCTCAAGACAACTTTGGCTCAAGCCAAGTGGCTCAAGCCGCCGCGCACCCCGGATCTTTCAACGAAAGGCGCTCGCCAAGGCGGGTAAACCGAGGCATTTCCGGTTCTTGCTTTCCCGATCGCGCTGCAATGTCTTGGAGCCGCTCCCCGCTGAACCTGGAGAAGGAGTTGGAGGCTGTGATGTCACAAACCCCTCCGCAAAGGCAAGGGGCTGCCCGGGGGGCCGGTACTCCAGTCGGCCACCTGTTGGCGGGCAACCCGTTCGAGCAGATGAGGGAGAAGGTTGCGCGCACGGGACCTGGTCCTGCCTCGCCTTGTACACCTCTACTGGCAGACAGTCGCTACCAGCGTATGCAGGATGGCGGGGAGGAGGATGAGGAGGAAATGATCCCGTCGCCGTACGTGCGGCCGCACTTGGGGGAGGTACGAAAGGAGGGGAACTCGCAGGAGGAGGAGGTCACGATGCTCGGCATAGCGGCGCTACTCCGGCAGGAGCTGACTCCCGTCACAGCCTCGGTGAAAGAGAGTTGCGCCTGGGGTTCAGCGCTTTGGACACCCGCCTCAACGATTTCATGGCAGTGGTGAACAAGCGCCTGCAGTCTGTGGAAAGCAGGCTGGACGTGTCAGAGGTCAGGATCGAGAAGCTGGAGAACATGCTCAAGAATCTCGAGTCCTCTCGGCCGGCCGGCGCTGCTCCACCTCAAGGCGCCGTTCAGCATACAGCCACGGACAAGAGGCACATCACGGCCGTGATAGGCAACCTGGACGCGTTGAACAGCATGGCGGAGGCGACCACATGGCAGGAGGACAAGCTGATGGTATTGAACGGTCCGGCCCCGAACAACACGTACTCCAAGGGGGACTTCAAGGGCATCCTCTTCGCGGAGTTCCACGGGACCGCGGAGAGAGACACCGCTGTGGACCTCCTCCGTGCGGCGGGTCTCCAGCCAGGTGGAGGGAAAAGTTTGTGGGCGACGGCTGATCGTCCTGCCCCAGAGCGTGCTGCCCGCAACTTCTGTTTCGGCTTGAAGCGGTTGTTCAAAAACGAATGGCGGATCAACTACCACGTGAAGATCTCCGATGAGGCTCCGTACCTGCTCACAGTTGGCGGCGAGAAGGCGGTGACGGTCCACGTCGACGACAACGCCGTGCGATACGAGTGGCATGGCGACTGGAAGACTTGGGAGGAGCTGCACAACAACCAGGCCGTGCAAGACCTCATACAGAAGAACACGGACATGCTGTCCCGAGCTGGTCAGGGCATGAAGGGCTCGAAGGGCAGAAGGGCGGTGCCAAAGGGCACTAGGAAACACAGCACATGAGCACAGTTTCACCCACAGTTTCACCCAGAGCATCTGTAGTTCTACACACTGCAAGCTCAAGTTTTGGCACCAGATCTACATCTTGCACAACAAGGTCGTATGAAGCAGAACTTTTTCGAGGCGGCCGGCTTGCCGTCTCTGGCCGGGAATTCAAAGTTGCGACTTAGAATGTGGAAGGGCTTACAGAGACAAAGGTTGTAGAGCTCCAGCGGCACATGCAGCAGGAGGACATCAGCATTCTCTGCATTCAGGAAACGCACAAGGGCAAATCCGAGTATGAGATCACAGACGGGGGCTTTCTCCTTATCCTGTCTGGCACGGCAGAAGACGAACCGGAAGCAACGGCAGGAGTTGGATTCCTGATCTCTCCGCTGGCACGTCGCAGCGTTATTGGTTTCAGACAGGCCTCTTCGAGAATGGCGTCCCTCAAACTGCGGGTCCGCGGGGGCAAAATCGTCATCTGCAGCGCCTACGCCCCGCACAGTGGAAAGCCATTCGTCGACCGGCAGGCTTTCTTCTCCGACTTGGCTGGCTTCCTCGGCAGCCACTCCGCCCACGGACCGGTGCTGCTATTTGGTGATTTTAATACCAGAATACACAGGCGCTTCCCCAGAGAAGAGGACGTGCTGGGGCCGTTCATTTTCGGGAACCGGCAAGCGCAGCACAACTCAGAATCAAACAGAACGCTCCTGCTCGAACTTTGCACCTCTCGTAAACTCACTGTCGGCAACACAGTTTTCGACGAGCCTCCCGAGCGCCAGACTACTATGATATAGGACACTCGCCGGCGGACCTCCCAATCCACCAGAACTACGGACAGCTGGACTTGGCGATAGTTTCCATGGAGTGGCTCGGGTGCTTGAAGTGTGTGCAAAGCGTCAAACACAGGGCGATCGCGTCGCATCACTTTCTCGTGGCTGCATCCCTGGACGTGAACGTCCCGCGCGAAGACAGCGGCCCCCGCGAGCCTCGACGACAGCTTGGCGCGCTTCGGGACGAAATGGTGGCGGGCACATTCTCCGATGCTGTCTGTACCCACACGAGCTCAAGTGGGTGCGAGCACGGGGGCGCGAGCGTCCAGCAGCTCGCGTCGAGCATGACAGATGCCTTTCGTTGTGCTGCCCAAGACGCTCTCCCGACTCTAGCGAGGAGACCGCGGCGACCATGGATCTCTGACAAGACACTCCAGTTCATAGACCAGAGAGACTCAGCGAGAGCGCGCGGGAAAACGCAGGAAGAGCGGCGCTTACCGAGCTGTCAGAGATTCCGTCCGGGCGGACCGTTCGGATTGGTTAGAGAGCCAACTCGCCTCTGGAGACTGGGCGCCGATACGCACCCTGAGAAAAGGAGCGCAAGCCCAGCAGGGCCGATTAGCCGACATGGAAGATCGTCTTGTTGACTCCGACCAACGTGCCGACACAATGGCAGAGTACCTTTGCAAAGTCCAATGGGCAGTGCGGCCGACAAGCGCAGCGCCGGACGGGGACCCCCTTGGCGACGAGCTTGCCGTGCCGTGTGGCCCAATCACCGAAGACGAAGTCGTTGGCGCTGCTGCACGTATGAAGCAAGGCAAGGCCTCTGGCAAAGACGATATCCCGCCAGAGTTTTGGAAGACAATCTGCCGAGCTGGGACGCCTGCCTGCAGATGGGCTGTCGAGCTGTGCATTAAGTGCTGGAGCGACGCAACAGTTCCAGCAGAGTGGCACGAGGCGCTAGTCGCAACAATATTCAAGAAGGGAGACGTGGCCCAGTGTGAAAACTACAGGCCCATCTCCTTGACGGCCGTGGGCTACCGAATTTTCGCTGCAGTTTTGCTTGGCCGGCTGAAAGCGGGCGGGGCCGAGAGCCGAATTTGGCGAACTCAGTTCGGCTTCAAGTCCAAGCACGGAACAGCGGACGCCATTTTTCTGGTACGGCGAATTCTTGAAAGAACTTGGGCCGAGAAGGGCGGGCAGGTCGTCCTGCTGGCTCTCGACTGGGCGAAAGCCTTCGACAGCATCTACCCGGAGTCTCTAGCACTAGCTCTTGTTAGATTTGGCGTGCCCGCGAAGATCGTGGAGGTGGTGCGGGCGATCTACCGGGAGCGAAGTTTCTGTGTACGGGATGCCGGCTCGACCTCGGCGCCGAGGGCGCAGGAATTCGGCATCAGCCAGGGATGCCCGCTGTCGCCCTTCCTATTCGCAATCGTGATGACCGTGTTGTTGCGAGACGCGAAGGAGGAGGCCGGGCCACTGCTGGACCCCTCCCAGGCGGTGCATGAGTTGGTCTACGCCGACGACACACTGCTTGTGTCTGGCGAGTCCGATACAGCGACGGCATACATGCGCAGCATCGAGACAGCCGGATCGCACTACGGTCTACAGTTCAATTGGCGCAAGCTGGAAGTTCTAGCCGTTGGCTGTAATGCGCATATTCCGAGGCCTGACGGTTCCTGGGTGCCGCAGAAAGAGAGCATTCAATATCTAGGCAGCTTGATTTCGAGCCACGGGAAGATCGGCCCTGAACTCTCCCGCCGACTTGGTGCCGCGCGGGCGGAATTCGACAAGTTGAAGCGAGTGTGGGGCCATTCCACGCTGACGCAGTCAAGGAAGCTTGAGGTGTTCAACGCTTGCATTCTCAGTAAACTGTTGTATTGTCTGCACACGGCCTTCCTGAACCAGGCGGAGACGAAGAAGCTCGACGCATTCCACGTGAGATGCTTGAGGCAAATACTTCGCATACCTCACTCGTACATTAGCCGCGTAACAAATTCAAGTGTGTTGGAGCAAGCAGGTGCTGCCCCACTGAGCAATACTTTGCTGAATCGTCAGCTGCTGCTCATGGGGCATACTGCCCGGAAGCCAGCTGATGACCCGGTCAGGTGCCTGGTCCTACGCCCTTTGTCATGCCAGCTTATAGCACATAACTTCAAGCGAAAACGGGGGCGCCCCCGGAAAACTTGGATCGAAGCTGTTTTTGCGCACGCTGTCCGGGCCGCGGGGGGTGAGGAGGCCCTGCCGCTGCTCTGGCAAGATAGCGTAATTTCTGCCGCAGCCTGGCGCGCAACCGTGAAGCGGTATTGCGACGCATTGTAAGGCCACGGCATTTGTGCTCATGTGCTTTGCACTCAGCTTTGTCTCTCTCCCCCCCATGGGGCTTCGAAACGTGCGAGAGGAGTGTCGACATGGGCGCGGTGCCGCCATGCGGACGCTGCCACTGGAGCCTTCGGCGGGACTCCCTAGATGCCTACGAACCGTGTGAGGGGTGTGCCCAGATGAGCGCGTTGCCACCATGCGGACGCTGCAACTAGGGCCTTCGGCGGAGCTCCCTATGGGGCAACGAGACGTGAAAATGGACTAGGTGCCGCCATGCGGGTGATGCCACTAGGGCCTTCGGCGGAGCTTCCTACGGTGCCATGAACAGTGTGCAGGTGTGCTGAAAAGTGTGCGGTGCCGCCATGCGAACGCTGCCACTGGGGCCTTCAACGGAGCTTCCTATAGCTATGGGGCCGCGAACCGTGTCAGCGGTGTGCCGGCATGGGCGCGGTGCCGCCATGCGGACGCTGCCACTGGGGCCTTCGGCGGAGCTCCATATGGGGCCACGAAACGTTCGAGAGGAGTGCCGAAATGGGTGGGGTGCCACTATGCGGATGCTGCCACTGGAGCCTTCGGCGCAGCTGCCTGTAGGGTCTTCGGCGGAGCTCCCTGCGGGGCCACGAACCGTGTGAGGGATGTGCCGACATGGACGCGGTACCGCCATGCGGACGCTGCCTCTGGGGCCCTTCAGCGGAGCGCCCTGTGGGGCCACGGAACGTGTGAGTGGTGTGCCGAGATGGGTGCGGTGACGCCCTTTCCACGCTGCCACTGGGGACTTACTTCTATAAGGCCACGAAACTGGAAAGAAGTGTGACGAACTGGGCGCGGTGCCGCCCTCCGGACGCTGCCACTGGGGCCGTCGGCGGAGCGCCCTGTGGGCCATGAAACGTGTCAGGGGTGTGCCGAAACGTGTGCGGTGCCGCCAGGCGGACGCTGCGTCTAGGGCCTTCAGCGGAGCCCCCCATGTGCCAAAGAAATGTGTGAGGGGTGCGCCGAAATGTGCGCGGCGCCGCCCTGCGGACGCTGCCGCTGGGGCCCTCGGCAAGGCTCCCTATGGGGTCACAAACCATGTGAGAGATGTGCCGACATGGGCGCGGTGCTGCCATGCGGACGCTGCCACTGGTGTCTTCGGCGGAACTCCCTATGGGGACACGAGACGGTGTGACGGGTGTGCCAACATGGGTGCGGTGCCGTCATGCGAACGCTGTCGGGGGCCTTCGGCGGAGCTCCCTATGGGGCCACGGACCGTCTGAGGGGTGTGCCGAAACGTGTGCGGTGCCGCCATGCGGACGCTGCCACTGGGGCCTTCGGCGCAGCTCCCACTAGCGTTACGAAACGTGTGAGGGGTGAGCCGACATTGGTGTGGTGCCGCCATGCGGGCGCTGCCACTAGGGCCTTCGGCGGAGTTCCCTATGAGGCCACGAACCGTGTGAGAGTTGTGCCGACTTGGGCACGGCGCCGCCATGCGGACGCTGCCACTAGGGCCTTTGGCGGAGCTCCCCATGGGGGCACGAAGCGTGAGAAGGGTGGGTGCGGTGCCGCCATGCGGACGCGGCCACTGGGGCTCTCGGTGCAGCTCCCATGGATCCACGAATCGCGTGAGGGATGTGCCGGCATTTTCGACCTGCGGAGAGGGCAGGGGCAGGATGGGAGGCGGAGGAGGGGGAGGAGGCAAGCTAGGTGCGCTCGCGTCATATCTGACGTCCTACCCCTCCCTCCCATCCCTTACCATGGCGCTGATTTTCTCTATCCGCGGACGCGTGTCGTAGCGGACCTGTGGCTCCGCGCGCGCGTGCGTAGTGGGTGGTGGTGCGCGTGCGTGCGTGCGTGCGTGTGTGCGTGGTTGTGGTGGTGGTGGTGGTGGTGGTGGTGGTGGTGTGGTGGTGGTGGTGCTGGTGGTGGTGGTGGTGGTGGTGGTGGTGGTGGTGGTGGTGGGTGGTGGTGGTGGTGGTGGTGGTGGTGTGGTGGTGGTGTGCGCGGTGGTGGCGGGCGGATGGGCGCGCGAGAAAGAGGCCCGCGCTGGGGCGAGAACGCCATCCTGAACGACGGAGGCCAAACACCGATCCGAAAATGAGGCCCACGCTGCAGCGGGAGCACGATTCGGAACGATTCGGGAGCAGAAATGAGGCCGGCGCCTCAGCGAGAGCAGCATTTTGAAAAAAACGCAGGCGAAAACCCGTTTCCCGGGAATCCTGTGTGTAAAAAAACAGTACGCGGGGGGGGGGTCGGATATCTTCGGGACGCCATCAGGGGAAGTGGGAGAGTATTTTCATATTGTGTAATTGTAGAGGAGATGAACAAGAAGGACGCGGGGCGCTTCAAAACGAGGACCCAGCATCACATGATGGCTAGACAGATGCAACATCGTAAACATCACGCCCAGAGACCTGGACCGCATCATCCTGAGTCATTTTTCAAGCCGGATCGATCTGCCAGGGTTCTGGTGCCCGAAGACGGGCGAATACGCCCGCCTTGCCAGGATCTGACGGTCTCTGGTCGTACTCTCGCACGATGCTGCAACTTGTTCGCGCTGTCGGCTCGAAGGGCAGGGCACGCTTGCATTTGCATGACCACGCCAATCATCGCTTCGCAGTTAGCGCTCTGTGACCGCAGCCGTCTAGGGGCGAAACCCGCCGTCCTTGAACAAGCCCCGAAGCTTGAAGCGCAGGGATCCTCCACACAAATCGCGTGTCGCCAGCCCTGAGCTTAGCGGCGCACCCGCTCCGGGCTCCGCCACGGCTGCCACTGGGGCCTTCGGCGGAGCTTCCCATGGGGCCACGACGCGTGCGAGAGGTGTGCTGACATGGCCGTGGTGCCGCCATGCGGACGCTGCCGCTATAGGGCCTTCGGCGGAGCTCCCTATGCGGCCACGCACCGGCGCGACGGGCGGGCCGAGGCAAGAAGGCGTCGTCGGCCCTGAGCTGAGCGGGGCACCCGCTCCAAGCTCCGCCACGGCAGCGAGGCGCGCGCGGCGCTGGCCGCCCGCGCAGACTGCGCCATCGGGGCCCCGAGGGCCCGGCCCCCAGCACGGGCCGGGCGCCGCAGGTGCTGGTCCGCCAGGGCGCGCGCCTGTGGGGAAGCCACGATCGGGGAGACGGAGGACTCGGGCTCAAGAGGCTCGGGCTGGCCTGACGGGGCCGCTGGGGAAACGACGAGACCCAGCCTGAAATTTGCCGCGGGGTCCCACTGTAACCATCGCACGGAAACTCGGGGATCTTCTGACCCGGGTCAATCCAGACCCTGGTCAGCAGGAAACCAAAAAGTGCAATGCAGGAAAAAAACTGCAACGCAAATCTTCGCAAACCCGGGTCAACCAATATGCGCGGCCGCCTCGCGGCCACGAGCTGCTCGCTAACCCGGGTCAGCTAAGAGGGGGTCTTCGCAGGATCCTGCAGGATCCGGTGCCCTGGCTGCCCCCCGTTTGCACTGACCCCCGTCTCAAGGCTCCCGAGAAACTGGACAGACAAAATCCCCGGCGCGGGCTGGGCGCCAGAGGTGCTGGCCCGCTGGCCCCCAGAGCGCGCGCCTGGAGGGAAACCGCAATCCCCGACTTTTTTCGTAAGACAGGCAGCGCCAGTAAGACAGGCAGCGCCAGCGGTCGCGGGCGGGGGGGGAGGGGGCGAGTCCAGCGGGGGGCGCCTAGCGCGAGGAGTTTGGAGCGGGTGGGAAAGCAGAGAGCGGCCGCGGAGAAGGAAGGAAAAAGAGGCCCGACCGCGGAGTCGGCGGGTGAGGGGCGCGCAGGCGGCCTCAGGCACCGCGGAGGGTGTGCAACAAGCATAGTCTCAGCAGGTGGACCATGCCGTCGAAATCGAAGACGGACAACGAGGCACATTTGCATCGCCGTGAGCCAGGGGCGTGAGCCGCCACCACAATCCCAGACATCTAGCGTCTCGCAAATATCGAGGTGGAGGTTTGTTCTAAGTTTTCGACCTCTCAAGGCCCTTACCGGGCCTTGGGACCGTCAAAGAACGAGCCGGGCTGAAAATCCGGTCCTGGGGAAGTGGTCGAGAGGTCGGGGGGAGGGGCGTGTTTTGAAACATCGAGACGCCACGGCGTGCGCCTTTGGGGAAACCTCAACGACTGCAATTCGGCGGCTGGGAGCCCTCCCCTGAGATCCAAACGGTTCCATTTTTTCGCGCTGGGCGTCGTCGCCCGGCTTCGAGACCCAGGACCCTCGCAGATAGATCTGGCTTGATAAGTAACCCAGAAAGATGGGGTCTATTGCTCCGAGCCTGATTTTCCATGATGTCGCAATTGTGTTGTTTCGTCGGATCTCAGGGCCGTGCACCTGTGACAGGAGGCGAAGTCAAAATTTTGCTTCCAGAACTAAGAGTCCGCTGCCCCTCGAGAGGGCTTTCCCGCTCGCGCGATCAAAAAGCACGTGCCTGAAGAATGAATCGCACCGCGGAGGAAACGGGTCAGAGGTGATCTGAGCGGTCGCAGCTCTGGCATCAGGCAGCGCGACCAAGAAAGTGTCACCAAGGCCCGAGGAAGAGGAAGGAGGAGAAGGAGGAGAAGGAGGAGGAGGAGGACGACGAGGAGAACGAGGAGGAGGAGGAAGAGGAGGACGAGGTGGAGGAGGAGGAGGAGGAGGAGGAGGAGGAGGAGGAGGAGAAGTTGGAGGAGGAGAGGGGGCAGCGTGGTTGCCAAACACAGCTGACGCGCACCTCTGAGGAAACCACAACGGCTGCGATTCGGCGACTGGGAGCCTTTCGAAGACTACAGAAGCCCTACCACACGACACTTGGCATCCTGCCACGCCTCAACTTGCCAGGGGGCACGGTGGCGGATATGCCTTGCACAACAGAATCTCAACGCCAACTGCACAAAGACATCGATCCATGCTAGGCTAATCCGTGATCCCGGGCGGACTTGGCCTGCGTCGGTGTTGGTGTACGATTACACCGCCGTGGCGAAAGTTCTCATCACTCCAGGGTCGCAATGACTGCGATTTGGCGGAGTCGGCGGAGGCGGAATAGTATTTACTCCGCGTGAAAGCGCACCCTGTGCGATGAAGTATACGGACTGGCGCGGAATATGTTCTGGCCCCTTCGCGAACCTTCGACCCCCCCAAACCGTAACGCGTCCGAGACTGTTCAGCCGAACGCCGCCAGCCGTATGTCATGTCAGAAACATGGAGCGGTGGGGAATCCATCGATCGTAAAGAGATGATGGAACTTTCGTAACGGCGGTGTGGTGACCCCCGCTGCCCCCACTCCTGGGGAAATCAAACAGTACCAATATCGTTGCTCCCTGGAATTCTGAGGCCGAAAAGGGTAGAAAACCTCCCGTCGTGATTTCCCCACACGACGCGGGCATGCCTGGATATTAGCGGTTTCGGCATCTTCTCCTCCTCTGAGCTCGTTGCGGGGACGCACTACCCCGGGTCAGCGCAAAGCGGGGTCGGCCAGGGCCCTGCCGTGAAGCCCGGCCCGCCGCCAAGTGACTTCCAAGCCCAGGCCAACGGAGGGCGGCAGGGAAGCGTCGCCCTGAAGGCCTCGGAGAGTCCTGCGCCCGCGGGAAGGAAGCGGGGGCCGCGCGACTCGGCGGCTGTGGCGGAAGGCCAGGTGAATCGCTTGGCCCGCCTTCCCCCCCATGGGCTCGGGGGCCCCCCGGGCCCCCAAGGGAACTGGCCGCTCGTGGCCCCCAAACCCGGGTCAGCCAGAGGGGTTTGACCCCGTGGCGGGAGCCCCGATGAGCGCCTGGCGCCCCGCCCCGCGCCCGCGTCCCGCCGAGAGGCCTGCCCCGGCCAGCAGGCCTGAAGGGAAACGGTGGGAGGGGGACCAGCTCAGGACGGGAAGCATCGAGCTGGAACCGGCGATACATCGCCGATAGATCGGCGACAGGCCCCCGACCGTGAATCCGCACGCTCCTGGGCGGGGTGGGCTATCAGGCCCCTAACGGCGATCAATGGGCGATTCGGAGGTCGATGCGCCCCCCCCTGAGCCCACCTGACGATGCCTCTGACTGGTCTCGGATTTCGGGTCTCCGGCGCAGTTCGGGACGATCTGGGCACCCCTGGCACGCTCTCGGCGAGGCGCAGCTGCTGGAAAGCAACCCGAGGACTGAAAACCACAAAGAAACGACGCAGACGCCCAGATTCCTTGGGCGCAGCTGCTGGAGAGCACCCCGAGCCCGGAAAACCACCGAGAACCAGCGAAAACGCGCGAAAACTGACGTTGCCCTTACAGAGGCCTCATAGAGGGGGTCAGAGCAGACGGGGTCGGAGGATCGTGCCGCATCGCAGATGCATCGGCGATGCATTGGCGACGCACCCGCGACCTCGACGATGCATCGGCGCATTCGGCGTGGAGAAAATCAGGCCCCATATTGGGCCACATCGCCGATGCATCGGCGACCTCCTCCTCCTCCTCCTGATGCTCCTCCTCCTCCTCCTCCTCCTCCTCCTCCTCATCGTCACCCCCACCACCACCACCACCACTACCACCACCACCACCACCACCACCACCACCACCACCATCATCATCATCATCATCATCATCATCAGCATCAGCATCATCAGCATAAGCCTCACGCAAATTATCATGATCATCATATATAAGAATCATATATCATCAGAAATAATCATCATCATCAACATCATGGAAGCCTAATTAAAGAATATGCATCATCATCCATCATCATCCTTTTCCTATCCGCCCTACTCTAGTGCTCCGACTTCATCCTACCCTCCAGCCTCCTTTTTCTTCACTGCCTCCTCCTCCCCCTCCTTCCCCTACTCCTCGTCCTCCTCCTCCTCCATCCCTCTCCCTCCTCCTCCCTTCTCCTCCCTCCTCCTCTCCTCCTCCCCTTCTCCCCTCCTCTCTCTCTCTCCTCCCCCTCCTACCATCCTCCCCTCATCCTCCTCCTTCCTTCTCCTCCCCCTCCCCTCCTTTCCTTCCTTCTCCTCCTCCCTTCTGCTCGAACCCCTCTGGGAGGTCGAGGCCCTGCAGGCCGCCGAGGCAGCGCCGCGCTCGCGCGCCCGCGCCGCCCCGCGGGCGCCCGCGGGGTCCCACGCCGTGCGTGGCGCGGGGTGCGGCCGCGCGGCGGCCGCCAGTTCGCCCCCAGCGGGCGCCCTCGGCACGGCGCGCCGCGGGGCCGCCGCGGCGGCGGCCGCCGCCGCTGGGGCGGCCATGGCGCGAGGCGGCGGCCCCGCTCGTCGAGTAGGGGGTCGAGTGCAGAATTGATTTACAATAGCGGCCCTTCCACAAGAAACCTTCTACAAGAAACCCAACCCTGAGAACCCAAGGACGTCCATTGATTTTTGGGGTGGGAGCGTCACGCTCTCCATAGCGAAACCATCGAAACCCAAGAAGCCCAGGGCCCCCTGGAGGCAAGCAGGGTGCTTCTTGGCATGGGCCTCCACTGTACCCCAGAATGGATGCGTTCGACGAAAATCCATACGAACTGCGCAGCATGTTCGTAGATCTGCGGGCGTTCTACACATGACCCGACGAGGAAGTCAACTTTGGGGCAAATCAAATCTGCAATCGATGGCAACTGGCATCGTTTGACCAATCCCCATTCCCACTGGCATGCCCGGGCCCCTCTGGCCGCTGCACCCCCTGGGGATGGGCATGAGGGCGGCTCCTAAAATTGATGTACCCCAAAGTGGATTTGTGCGCCGAGTCCATGAGAAAGGCGCAGAGTGTGCGTTCGTAGAGCTTCGGACCTTCTACGTATGACCCGACGAGGAATCAATGTTGGGTAAATCAATTCTGCAGTCGATCCCATATTCGAGCTCTGAGCATCGTTTGACCGATCCCCAGCCCCAATGTCATGGCCCGTAGAGGATGGTTGTGCAGTCATGCCGGTGAGCCCAGGCTCGGGTAACTCGTGCCTGGGTTTGGGCCCTGGGCGGTGCACCAGTCTTTCGGTGCAGCTTTGAGGCCAGCGTCCCCAGGCGTTTTGGATCCCCATGTCGAGGATCGCCTCTTGACCTTTGAATGTCAAGTTGATGAACGAGCCTGGCCCCTACGGGGTCACTTCTTTCTTTCTTTGGCATGACCCTGGCCCCATCGGCCGATTCCCCCACCCCTCGGGGACGGGGCGGCTCCCTGCGCGCCTCGACCGGCAGGGGCCCCGAGGGACCGAGAGCGAGGCACCGTCGGAGATCTGGGGAGATACCATGGCCTCCCTCCCCTCCCCTCCCCTCCCCTGCCCTCCCCTCCCCTCCCGGTGGGGATGGGGATGGGCGGAACGATCCTGACGCCCCGGGCGCGCGCGGGTCTCCCGCGCCGAGGCGGCGGCCGCGGGGACGAGTGGGGGTGCGAGCTGTGCGGGGGCGGCGCAGGCGGGCCTGCGATCAAGGGCGGGGCTCGGCCCTACCCCCGAATCCTCGGGTATAGGCAGGGTGTCTGGGAGGGCGCGGCGACACGCCCGGAGGCCGAGGGGGGCCCCGTCTAATTCATTGGCGTGCATCTGGCCGAGACCGGCGCGGGCAGCATCCTCAAAGGGCTGAAGGCGCAGGAGGCCCTTGCTTTCCCCCCCTCGCTCGCCGCCGACTTGGGCCAGGGCTGGCCAGGGCAGGAGAAAGACAGCTGGTGTCCTCCAGATCGCTCCGCGCGGATCCGCTCCAAAACACCCGACGATCTGGTGTCTTCAATGGCCGGCCCTGGAGGTCCCGATCCCTTCCCCCAAGAAGGGCTTTTCGGCCCAGGTCCGCTTTTGCGGGGCCGATACCCGCCTCCGAGGGCCGAGATCGATAAGAAGAATGCCGGTTCACACAATCATGTCGCCAGATGTCTGGGGAGGTCTGGCGAACTGGAGGAATAGTTGGCGGCGTCCAAACCCTACCCCCACCAATCCCTGATCCTCTCGAATCTATGGTCGGTGGGGGTATGGTTCGGATCTCGCCACGTGTTCGACGAATTTTGAACCCCACCCCCGCCGCCCATCGAGTTGCGTGAATCGTTGATCGACGAGGGCAGAATTCGGATCTCGCCGCCGACCAGAGCGAGATGGCGTTTTTCAGCCCGGGCGCTTCTCCCCGGCCTCTGGGGCCCTTTGTCGGGCCCTGGGGCCAGCACAGGGCTCGAGCTAATCAGTGCTGCTCGTCTTCGTTCTGTGTTCGTTTTCCTTCGTCCTGGATTCGTTCTTCCTTTTGCTGCGAAGCGAAATCAAAACGTCACCGGCCCATAACATCACCAACACGCAGTTTAGCCCGAGCCCTTGGCCAGCATTACGCCGGCAAAGCACCCCAGTAGCAGGGGTGAGGGCACGGCCACGTGCAGCTCAAGTGCAGTGCTGCCAGGGCCGGACGACGCCAGGACGAGGGTCGATTCGAGTGAGGATGCATCGAGAATCTCTGAGATATACGGCGGTTCTGGAGGATGTCTCAGGCGTCGGAGGATGAATCGAGAATCTCTGAGATACGGCGGTTCTGGAGGATGTCTCGGGCGTCGCGGCCTTCTCAGAGCGCTCCGGAACGATCTGAGGGCGTTCCGGAACGCTCTGGGACGGATTTATCCTCGTCCTAGCCCCGTCCGACAAAGATCGCGTGTTCGTCCGGACGAAAAAGTGGGCAGGCATTGAGACGAGAGCACGATTCCGGAAAAAAAAGTGTGAGGAGGCCACGGGCGAAGCGGCTGCTAGACCGCATCCCGGCCTGGCGGTCTGGGGCTCCCCGTTCCCCCAATGCGGGGCTCTTCTGTGGTTTTTTATGTTGATCTCTCTTGGAACCCCCTTGCGAAACGCCAGGAAGGAAAACGCTCGCCCGGGACAAAACAAACTGCCTCCTGGGAAGGTGTTGGGAGCCGTGGGGCCGCGGGCTACAAGCGCTGGGAGATGCCAGGGCCCCCGCGCGTCGCGACCTCCTCCGGGAGGGGGGAGAGGACGGGGACGGGGAGCGAGATCAGGGAGGAGGAGGAGAAGGAGGAGGAAGAGGAGGAGAAGGAGGAGGAGGAGGAGGAGGAGGAGGCAAGGGGGCCAGGCGGCCCCGCGCCATCTTCGGCTGCGCGGGCCGAGGTGGGGTCCCGTGGGCCCGGCGAGGGCCCCTGGAGGCGAGCACGTCTGGGATTCAAGGGCGTTGGTTCAGAAGTCGCTGGTTCATCGACGACGACGACGACGACATCAGAAGTCGTTGGTTGACCGACGGCGACGAGGACCGACCGACCCACAGATCTCTCCTGGAGTGCGCCATGGACAGAATCTCGAGGCGGACCAGGCCGTGGCGGCGAGGAGGCCCCGAAAGGCTCAGAGATCCCTGAAAGGAGCCTGAGGATGAGCCCACCACCTGTCCAAACGAAGTGCGACTACAAACAGACAGGGGTGTGCCGACATCGGCTCGGGGACGCCGTGCGTGGAGCCTGCCGGGGACGAAACGTGTGAGGGTTGGGGCCGTAAGTGGAGCTACCCTTGGACCACCACGACACGTGTGGGGGATCTGCCTACAGCCTACATGGGCTCGGAGACGCCATGCGAGCACGCACGCTGGGGCCGTAAGCGGAGCTCCCTGTGGGCCACGAAACGTGAGAGGGGGTGTGCCGGAATGGGCGCTGAGGCGCCTTGCGAGCACACTGAGGCCCCAGGTGGTGATCCCGATCGGCCACCAAACGTGTGAACATATGCCGACATGGGCGCGGGGACGCCATGCGAGCACGTGTTGGGGACATAGGTGGATCTCCCGATGGAGGAAGGCGTTGCGAAAGAGAGGAGTGCCGAAAGAGGTACAGCAAAAGTAGCAGGAGCGGAAGCGATGGGTGGAGGGAGGAGGAAAATGAGGAAGAGAAGGGAGGAGGACAGGACGAGAGGAAGTAGGATGAGGTGGGTGGAGGAGGAGGAGGAGGAGGTGGAGGAGGAGGAGTGAGATGCGCGGCGCTGCGAATTCAAAACGAGGACCCAACTCACAGGAGGGTTGGGCAAAACACCCAAGACTCTTCATCCCCGATCCTCGACGGCGACGACGACCACGACCACGACGGCGATGGCGACGACGACGACGACAACGACCACGGCGTCTCGCCAAGGCTCCGGTAGCTGGCGGCCCCGGTCTGGCGGGAGGCGGGAAGGGAACGCCTCCGTTGTTGAGCCCTATCCTCGTGGCGCCCCGCTCGATCATGTCACCTAGACCTTCCGGGGAGGGGGGGATAAGGAGGAAGAGGAGGAGGCGGAGGAGGAGGATGGTGAGGAGGCAGAGGAGGACGGTGATGATGATGGTGATGATGATGATGATGATGATGTTGATAATGACGATGACGATGACGATGATGATGATGATGATGATGATGATGATGATGATGATGATGATGATGATGATGATGATGATGATGATAACGATGATGATGATGATGATGATGATGATGATGATGATGATGATGATGATGATGATGATGATGATGATGATGCTGATGATGATGATGATGATGATGATGATGCTGATGCTGATGCTGATGCTGATGCTGATGATGATAATACTGCGGAGGAGGAGGAGGAGGAGGAGACAGAGGAGTAAGCGTAAGAGTCCCAGGACGATGTCCGAAGGATGAGAAGGAGGAGGAGGAAGGAGGATAAAAAAGAAGAGGAGAAGGAGGAGGGACAAGGAGGAATGAGGAGTGATGAGTGAGGACGAGGGAGAGGGGGAGGAGGAGGATGAGAGGGAGCAGGACGAGGCGGGGGAGGAGGAGGAGGAGAATGTAGAGGGTGAGGGGGAAGGGAGGAAGGATGATGGGGATGGGGAACGACGGTTGAAAAGGAGGAATGATACTGGCGGACTGCTCAGCCGTAAGGGTGGCCCGCCTCTGTAATCAGGAAACACATGCACTGAAAGGGTCTGCGTGTCTGATGATATGAAGCATGTCAGCCAGCGTGTACCCCAAACTATGTGATTCTAGCAATCTGTGTTGTGCAGTCGGTGTGGAGCAATATTTGTGCTGCAATCTACGTTGTGCACTATATGGTGTGCAATACATCTCTCCCTCTCTCTTTCTCTCTCTATATATATGTTATATTGTGCGAAAGGCATCGATTTCCCGAACTATGGTGTGCAATATGTGTGGAATAATCGATGTGGTTCAATCTATGTGGTGCAGTTCACTTTGACCGTCTTGAAGCTGTCCACTCCACTGCTCGTGCAAACATCCCACCCTCCCACCCGCAACTTGGTCGCAAGACCTCTTAAGACAAGACCGTGACGGTAGGTACCACATGGCACTTGGCCACGACACCGACGCCGACGACGACAGCGACAACGACGACGACGGCGCCGCCGACACCGACTACGACGATACCGACGACGTCTCCAACGACTTCGACGACGACAACGACGACGACGACGACGACGACGACACCGACGACGACGACGATGACGCCGACGACGACGATGACGACGACGACGCCGACGACGACGCCGACGGCGAAGACAACGACGACGACGACAACGACATCCCCAACGAAGACGACGACGAGGGAGGAGGGAGGACGACGACGGCGACAACGACGACAACGACGACAACGACAAGGGAGGAGGGAGGACGGCGACAACGTGAACGACGAATAAGGAGGAAGGACGGCGACGCCGACGACGACAACGACGAGGGAGGAGGGAAGACGACGACGACAACGACGAAGACGACGACGGCGACGAAATAGGAGGGACGACGACGAGACGCCGACGACGGACGACGACGACGACGAGGGAGGAAAACGAAGGACGACCACGGCTACAACGACGACGGAAACGACCACGACGCCAAAGACGACGACGACGACGAACGCGAGGAAAGACAGAGGACGACGTAGGCAACGACGACGACGACGCGGGAGGAGGGAGGACGGCGACAACGACGACGACGACGCAAGAACGCGCGCGCACGCTTTTGTTGAACATCCATGTTGCGAAACCTTGTGGTTTTTGTAGGTTTTTTGGACACGCGATTTTAAAATCCTTCCGAAACCGCTTGGTTTTTGAAGGGTTTCGGCATACGCGAACGACGACGCGCGCGTCTGCACTTCGTCTTATTTTTTGCAGAGGGTTCTCGCGACGGCACACGCGCAAGGGCGTTCGGCAGATTTCGGCATGCGCGCGCGCGAAGCCCGTTTGGTAGCATTGTGTGTCAATGTTGAAAAATCTTATGGTTTGCTGACGATTTCGCAAGAGCTCGCGCGTAAGCTTTTTTAGGAAATCAGTGGTGCGAAACCTTGTGCTTGTGTATGCTTTTGGGAAGCTCGATTGCGAAATCCTTCGGACACCGAAGGTTTTTGAAGGATTTCGGCATGCGCGCGCGCGACGACGCGCGCGTTTGAATTTCGTTTTTTTGTTTGCAAGGGGTACATGACAAACCTTAGTATGCAAGAACAAACAGTGTCCCCGAGTTTTTTGTATTAAATGTATACATTTATATATATATATATATATACATATACAATTATAACTATAACTTTATATATAATGACAAAAAAAAAAAAAGGAACCTCACGGGGACCGATCCCGGCCCCCCGGGGAAAGTGTACATTCATACTTAGGATGGACATGTGGTCATAATCATATATGACTTACATACCCGAAAGGGGTACGGATAACCCCGAGGGGGGGGGTAGAGTCTATTCTCTTTTTAGAAAGGAGAATCTAGGTTGTGCCTTCATTTGCAGAACTTGAAGGTGTCAACTCCACTGGTCGAGCAATCATCCCGGCCACCCACTCGCAACTTGGCTTGCAAAACCCATGCTGGAACGATTGCGATGAGTGCTGGGTGTTGGCCAGTGCATCTCTGCGGCCGCGCTCGCCCGCGCATGCTTGGGCGCGCAGCGGCTAGCCAGTTTGGCGCGACCGACGCGAACGCGGTGGCGCTGACCACTCGGCACATCCCAGCGGGCACTTCAGTGTGAGTCGGCGACTTGGGCGGGCACGGTATCATGGCAACGTCGAGGGCGGTAGACACGATGATGATAGCAGCGATGCTGGCGACGATGCTGACAGCGACGAAGGGGCAGCCAATGACGGCGCCGATGCTGATCACGCCGACGACGATGACGGCGCCTTCGCGTCGGTGATGCAGGTTTGGAAAATCAATTCAAAGTACGCGCGCGGCGGACGCGCGAGAGTGTCGCATGGTATTGTTTGACACGGATCGTGCCACCCCAGCACGCGCGCAAGGGCGTTCGAACGATTTCGACATGCCCGCGCGAAGCCCGTTTGGTAGCATGTTATGCACATGTTGAAAAAAGCCGTGGCTTTCTTAAGAATTCGCAAGGCCGCGCGCACGCTTTTGTTGACAATCCGTGTTGCGAAAGTTTGTGTGTTTTAACTTGTGTTTTTGACATCCGATTTCGACATCTTTCCGAAAACAATGTTTTAAAACGATTTCGGCATGCGCGCGCGACGACGCGCGCGCGTGTGCCCTTCGTCTTCTTTTTGCAAGGGATTACTGAAAGCACGCGTAGAACTTTTTGCAGAGGATGGCGGGGGAGGAGCGATACTGGCATAACTGGGACCATATGAATTCACAGGTAGGATGGACATTGGGTCAGGACCATATGTGTCTGGCATCGGTTCCCGGTGAATCGACAAGTCCAGGGGGGGAGGGTGGTAGAACCTATGCTCTTTTAAGAAAGGAGAGAGTCTACATATGGTGCGCAATCTAGATCGTGCAATCTATGTGGTACGCAGTCTATGTGGTACGACCGCCGTGGTGTAGAGTATGTGGTGCAATATGCGTTGTGCAGTCTATGGTGTGCAATCTGGCGCAAACGTGGTGATCGCAATCTGTGTAGCGTGCACTCTATGTCGTACAGCCGACGTGGTGCAAGCTGTGTTTTGCAATCGATGCTGTGCAGCTGATTTTCATAAACGAATTGACACCTCCCACGCTCTTGCAAACATCCCACCAACCCACCCACCCGCAACTTGGTTAGCAACGCCTCGATGAGTGCTTGGCCTTGGTTGGTTGGTGCATCTCTGCGGCCGCGCCGCGCTAAGCACGCGCGCGCAGCGGCCAACTAGTTTGGCGCGAGCGACGCGGCCGCGGTGGCGCTGACCGCTGGGCACATGCCAGCGGACACTTCAATGCGAAGCGGCGGTTTGGGCGGGCGCGGTCTCATGGCAACGTCGGCGACGGTAGACACGATGATGCTAGTAGCGGTGCTGGTGGCGATGTTGACAACAACGACGGCGCGGCCCGTGCGGGCGCGGATGCTGATCACGCCGACGACGATGACGGCGTCCTCACGTCGGTGATGCAGGTTTTGGAAGGAGTTCGACATGCGCGCGCGGCCGACGCGCGAGAGTGGCACGCATGGTATTATTTGACACAGGTCGTGCCCTCCCCCCCAGCACGCGCGCAAGGGCGTGCGAACAAGCTCGGCATGCTGCGCCAGAGGCCCGTAGGCAGAATTCCACGACCATGGTGAACAACGAAACGCATCGCTAGGAAGATGCCCGAACCTCTCCATCAAGGAGATGCACCTGACGGTGCGCACCAGCTTCTGGAGGATGCTCCCGACCACTCTCATGACACGCACCATCTCCAGGAATATGCCTGCTACCCTCGCGAAGCTCTTCGCCATCATGAGGACGACCACCATCACCAGGAAGATGCTCACAACGAGGTGCATGAGGTTCACAACGATGCTTTCCATCAAGACGATGCACTCGTACAGGCTCGGCAAACGCGGCCTCTCCAGGGAGGCACGTACGACGAATTGGACGGACACTGGAAAGAATGCGATCACCATCGCCAGAAAGATGCCCAGGACGATGCCCACGCCACACACGACGAACTGTACCACCTAGGAAGAGGTCCGCGACGAGGTACTCCATCAAGAAGGTGCACCTGACGATGCGCACCATCGCCTGGAAGAAGCTCACGATCATACTCGGGATGCGCACCACCCCTAGGAATACACTCACGACATCCATCGCGCGACCTTCGATCATCAGATAGGAGCACATGACAGAACGAGCGCGTGGCACCAACATGACGGTCACAATCACCAGGACCATGCTTACGACGAGACACACGGAACTCGCGACAAGGCTCTCCACCAGAAAACGAGCGACGACGCTCACGATGCGCACAATCGTCAGGCCGATGTACCAGAATAGTGTCAAGACGCCCGCCATCACCAGGAAGGCATTTACGGCGAAGCTCGCGAGGGTCAGCAACAGTGGGCTCGCTGCCATCCCCAGGGAGATGCCCAAGACGAAACCCAGGAAATACACATCCATCGCGAGACGTTCCGTCATCAGGTAGGCGGACACGACAGCGCGGACAACGTGCATCAATATGCCAATCACCCTCAACAAAAAGATGCTCACCACGAGCCGCATGAGGTTCACGACGAAGCTCGCCATCAGGACTATGCACACCATCGCCAAGTAACCGAACAAGTTCAGGAGGCTCCGCGGCCACGGATGCGGCGAGCCGGGTGTAGGCACGACGCCGAAACCACCGTCACTTACGCGTCCGAAAGAATGCTAGTCCAGGGGGGCGCGGACGGCCGCTGTCCGCGAAACACGCAGCGGCCGCATCCATCATCTGACGGAACACTGCACAGAGAATACATTGCGGCTGGCGAAGGCCGTCAGAGCCGTGTGAGATGCGTTCGCGCGCATGCGGCGTTCGCCCGCCCAGTGTGCGGCATCGCCTGAGCAAAGGGGGGCGATCAGGAGGAGGAGGAGGAGGAGGAGGAGGAGGAAAAGAAGCGGAGGAAGCGGAGGAGGAGGAGCGAGGAGGAGGAGGAGGAGGGAGCGGAGGAAGGAGGAGGAGGAGAGGAGAGGAGACAGAGGAGGAGGAGGAGGAGGAGGAGGAGGAGGAGGAGGAGGAGGAGGAGGAGGAGGAGGAGGAGAAAAACGATGACCAAGGCCGACGAGGTCGCTCACCCAATTGCCGAGCCCGGCCGCCGCCAGCGTCGTCAGGCCGAAGCGCACGCCGAACGTCGCGTCTGCGAGAGTCTTGTTCTTTCCCCCGAAAGGAGGCGGGCGGGGAGGCATGCGAGGAGTAGGAGGGGGAAGGGAGGAGAGGAGAATGGGGAGGAGAAAAAGGAGGACGAGGAGAAACACAGGGAGGGAGCAGGAAAAGGACGAGGAGGAGGAGGAGGAGGAGGAGGAGGAGGAGGAGGAGGAAGAGGAGGAGGAGGAGGAGGAGGAGGAGGGTGAGCAGGAGGAGGAGGAGAAGGAGGAGGAGGAGCAGGAGGAGCAGGAGAAGGTGGAGGAGAAGGAGGAGGAGGAGCGGGAGGAACAGGAAGAGCGGGAGGAGCGGGAGGAGCGGGAGGAGGAGGAGCAGGAAGAGGAGGAGGAGCAGAAGCAGCAACACCAGGAGGGTAAGGAGGAGAAGAAGGGCTGAGGAGGAATAGCGTCGCTCTCCCCCTCCTGATCCTCCTCCCCCTCCTCAACCTAATCCGCGACACTCGTTTCAATCCTTCTCATGTTCCTCTTCCTCTTCGTCGTCGTCGTCGTCCTCCTCCTCCTCCTCCTCCCCCTCCCCCTCCCCCTCCTCCTCCTTGCGATCGCCTTCGTCAAGTCGATCAAGATATAACGGAGCTTGGACTGCCAAAGCACAAAGGAAAGACAGGAGGGACACCTACATTGCTCTCTGGCGAAGCAGCAATCGGGCACATGCTCCCCCTGTCGCTGCAAGTGGTGACAGCGGAAGGGTAGCGTGGGGTGGGAAGGAGGGAAAACGCCACATCGAACCTAACGGCCGCGGGGAGAGGACGAAGAAGAGATAAAGAGAGAGAGAGAGAGAGAGAACGAACAAATCAACACGCTTCCGTTCAACTGGACGCAGGAGGGAAGCCACGAACATGACAGAACGGAGCCTGGACTGCCAAATGGCCCATAGAAAGCAGGATGGACAACTACTTCTTCCCGTGGCGAAGGCAGCAATCAGGCACATGTGCCCCCCGCTGCTTCCCCAATGGGTGACCATCTTCCATTTGAAAAAACTTGCCACCAGGGAGCGATCATAATCTCGTAGACGTGGTCCGTCCCTGCGTCAATCACCCCTGGCACAGAACGGCCAAATTCCGTCGGGTGACCCGACTATCCGCTGGTCCTGGGCGGGTACCTCGCTCCCTCGGTTTCTAGATGCCTTTTCCCAGTCCCGTCCTGGCTACTCAGGGGCCCGCGCCGCCGGGCGGTGAGCACCGAATGCAGCGCGATGGGCCGACACGCCTCCCGCGCGTGCCCCTCGCGGGGTCCGCGGTTGGTCCCAGGCGGGGTTGGCGCCAGGGAGCCCATCCGTCGAACAAAGTTCAAATTCTAGGACAGGGGTCCCTGGTCCATGCCAGCGGAGCCGCTCCGCCGAGTTGCTCCCTTGGTCCCCAAATTCGCCATGGGCCCAAGGGGGCCTCCAGATGGGGCCCTCCGCCCGCGCGCGCGGAGCAGCTGGCAGTAATTTTCGAGAGTGTCACGCTGGGGGCGTTCCCCTGGGCCCCCTGTGGCGCCGCCACCCCGCGCGCGCCCCGCGCCGACTGCGCGGGCGCTCCATCCTGGACAGCAGTTGCCCGCCGATGAGTTGCTCCCCAGGGGTTGCTGGGGGCACCCCTCCAGGGTTGCCATCCTACGAGCGCCAGCGCCTAATTCATCCCGCCCAGGCGCCCCTTTCAGAACGTGCCTTGCATGGCTTTCTCCCCTCGCCTCCCCTCGCGCGCGAGGCTTGTGCTGCCGATGATGGACTGGTGCTTTTGGGGTGGCGTCGCCTCTGCCAGTCCACTCCTTTCTGGGGCGCGTGAGCTTCCCGGGGTAGACGCGGGTAGCGCTGGTCTTCCGTCTCCCGCGCCTCTTCACCGGGGCCGCGTTGCGAGTGGCCATGCCGCGTCGAATGCGCCGGATCTCTTCTGACCTCCGAAGTTAAGCGGCGCATGGCCCGGTTAGTGCTGGGGTGGGGGGCCGCCTGGGAAGACCTTCGGGCGCTGTCAGCTTTGGCGCAGCCCAGGGTCGCAGCGCGACGTTGCTTCGCGTTGCCCTGCCGCGCGGCGCAGTCAGGCGCCCGACGCAACAGACACAGGGCCACCGCCGCAGCTAGAAAATGCCCTACCCCCCCGGGGGGGGGGGGGGGGGCCTCCTCCCTGGGGGCATTTGGCTCGGGCCTTCTGCGCCCCCAAGGAAAATCTCAGGGCCTCCCGTCTGGAAATCTCTGGGGCTCGGGGGGGGCGGGCAGCGGCCCGCCCCAGTCCCGGGACTGAGGTCGGCCGCCCCTGCCCCTGTCGGAGCCCGATTTCTGGGCTGAGCTCCGCTTGGGGCGCACTGCTAGAATCAGCTGCGCTCAATAGTTGCAGGCTCGGGCTGTGTCCGATTCAGGTGCGCAGCGACGACGTTGTGGCGCAGTTGTAGTCGGACTGTAGTAGTGCTGTGCGGCCCCCATCCTTGCAGTGCAGCTGTAGTTGGGCCCAGCTGGGGCGGGCGAGCTCGGCGGCCAGGGGCTGGGTCGCCCCCGCGCTCGGAGCGCGGCGCGCTGCTGCTCTGCGGGGCTGGGGCGGGCGCTCGCTGACCAAAAGCGGCGCGCGACAGGCGGCCAGCCCCGCTCGCCCGCGAAAAACCGATACCAGCTACCCACCTCAAACCTGGGTTTGAGGTGAGCAGCCAGGCGGTGCCGCCAGCATGCCTGATACTCCGCAGTGGTTCGCAGCCAGCGCGGCGTGCGTGGGGGTGCCCTATAAACTTGCCTGGCTAGTGTTGGGCGGAGATCCAGCAGCTCGCTCTCGTAGGGTCGAGCAGCTCACTGCACTCTGGGGCCTGACGCCTCAGCAGCCTCCGATGGAATCATCCATGGCAGAATTTCTTGCGAGGTGGCCTGCTTGCGAGCGACTGCCAACATTCAGACCGACCAGACAGAGCCCCCACGACGCTGGTCACGCAATGGCCACGGCAGCGCAACATCGTCATTGACGAGTTCCCAGCAAGGTCCCGCTAGCGCCTTTTTCTCGTGCTCGCAAACCGCCGCAACGTGCAACAGCGACGCTGCCAGAATTGCAGCGGCGAGCGATGCATCCATCACAGCGTTCATTTCAGCTCGTAACAATCCTTCGCCTTTTACTGAAGTTTGCCGTGAGAGGGGCGCACCAGTGTGACTTCCATTATTTTGGAGGGGGTAATCCCAAACAGTCGCCCTGCATCGTCCCAGACTCATCCCTGCCTCGGCAGTCAGCGCAGGTGACGCGCGTTTCAGCGACGGCCAGCAAGAGAAAAAGAGAGGGGGAGATATATAGAGAGAGAGAGAGAGAGAGAGAGAGAGAGAGAGAGAGAGAGAGAGAGAGAGAGAGAGAGAGAGAGAGAGAGACCACAGATAACACAGAACAAATAATACCAGCCGGGACAGAGGCGCTTGAATGCGACTGGAACTGCACGGCGAGGACGCTCGCCTCCCCCTAGCGCGTGCGCTTCGGATTCCCTTCGGGGATCATCCGTTAACATTGGAACGATACGGGGAAGATTAGCATGGCCCCTGCGCAAGGATGACACGCACCAGTCGAGACGTATATACAATGTTTTCGCGCAGCCACGCCGCCCCCCCCCCCCCCCGCGCCCCCCTCTGGAGTGGCCTGTCGCTGCGCGGTGGAATTGCAGGCGGGTGCCTCCTCGTCCTTCGGCGCGTCCATCCCCGCGGGCGCGGTCGCCGAGTCGGGTGCAGCCCGCTGGCCCGTCGGCCTAATAGATAGGGCGTCGGCCTCCAAGGCCGGAGATTCCAGGCTCGAGTCCTGGGCGGGTCACTTGATGGTGGGCGCGCGCTCGTTTGCGAGGGGGGCGCGGTGCCCCGTGGTCTTGCGCGCTTTTCGGTCACAGGCAAGCGCCATCCGCGCAGCGTCGGGGCTGCCGTGGCGGCGATAGCGCAGCTGGCAGCGCGTAGGCCCCATAATCCTAAGGTCGCGAGTTCGACCCTCACGCGCCGCATGTGCCAGCGCTCGCCGCGCCCCCGCCGCGCCCCCCGCCAGCCGCCTCAGCGGGCCCAGCTGCTAGGCGCCCCCCGGCAATCAATATCTAGCGACAGCGAGGGGATTCGAGCCCCTGCGGGCAGAGCCCAATTGATTTCTAGTCCATCACCTTATCCACTCGGTCACACTGCCCACGCCAGGGAGCCCGCGACCTGTCGCGCCATCAGGGGAACTATTTTCCAGGCAGACCCGCCGTCGCGCCACCCGCGCGCCCATGGCCCCCGCTGGGGATTGAACCCAGGACTTTCAGTTGAAAAGACTGACGCTCTGCCACTGAGCAATAGAGGCCCTGCGCCTGCGCCCCGCAGAGTGCGCGCGCCGAGCGGGGGCGGCTGGTGGGGCGCCTCGACCTGTCGGCCCCCCCGCCAGCGCGGCTGCCGAGCTAGATCGGGCGCTTCCAGCAGTGCAGCAACTGGCGTCGAGGTGCAACGGTCAGCACTCCGGGCACTGAATCCAGCGCTCGCGGCTCGAATCCGCGCGAGGCCTCTATCTTTCGCGCGGGCAACCACCTGCGAACCCATGCAGTCGGGCGCGCAGCGCAGTGCACGGGCGGCCATCTGGTGCGGGCGCGGCGTGAGCTCCAGCAGTTCGACTTCTGAAAGTGCGACTGGCCCACTGGCCCCGTGGCAATGGATAAGGCATCGGCCTGCGCGGAGCCGGGGATTGCAGGCTCGAGTCCTGCCGGGGCCAATATGTGCGTCGCAGCAGTGTGCGCCAGATCGGCGGGTTCGCGTGGAGCTTCGCGGCGACGGTGTCCTCTGGCACGAGGGGGCATGGCGCAACGGCAGCTCGTCTGACTCCAGATCAGAAGGTTGGGAGCTCGAATCTCTCTGCCCTCGTGTTGTTTGCTGGCAGAGCGGGCAGCGCGCCGAGTGCTAGTCGCATCGCGCCCGCCACGGCACCCGCCGCGCGGCGCAGCTGCCTCCTGCGAGCGGCGCGGGCGACTGTATCCGTGGACCTTGCCAATGGAAGCCCCCCGTGGGATTCGAGCCCAGCGCGCAGGGGGTCATGATGATCAGTGCCCCATTTCGCCATGCGGCCCTAGGGAGGCGTTTTCAGCGTCGGACTGCGACGCGGGACCGTCGAACCGCAAGTCGAGTTCGGCGTCGGGCTGCGAGTCCTCTTCGTCGGGCTGCGCGTCGAGCTCGGCATTGACCTCCTGCCCATCGGTCGCCTCGCATTTCGCGGAACCGAACGCCAGGGGCTTAAGCGGCAAGAAGCACGCCGCATCGACCCGAAGCACGCTCGCCGCGCTGCTGCCCGAGGCGCCCCCGCGCCACGCGGCTCCCCAGCAGGCGTCGCCTTGCACGACGAGGCGGCGACTGCGCCGCAGGTGCACCGCGTGCCGAACGTCGTGGCGTCGACGGCAGGGCGAGCAGCTGGCTCCTTCCGTGACTCCAAGCGCGGCCCATGTTGCGCCCGTCGGAGGTCCGCGGCGTCGGCGACCGACGCGTCCAGGCCTGCGGCGTCCCCCCTAGGGTAACGTTGAGCCGTGGTACTGCGAGCCAATCAGGCGATCGGCCCTGCAGCTTTGCCCAGAGTGCTGGTAGCACGGCGCAAACCCGCTGCGCCGCCTCGCTGCTTCCGACCATGGCGTCGAGCACCCGCTCGGCGAGGGCGAAGCAAGCCTTTGTTTGCGCCTGCCGTTCCGCGAGGCGCTGCACCAACCGATCCGCGAATGCCCGAGCGCCAGCAACGCCGCGCCTCGGGCATGCCTTCGCCGCACCATCCCCCGTCTGGGCAGCGGCGTCCCGCGCCACCCTCAAAAGCCACCGCGGCACCACCCCCTCGCTCCAGCCTGGACGTACATGAGCTAGCCGGCTTGAGCAGTAGGGGTGTCGTCCACTTGTGGACGGCTTGAACAAAAATGGCTACGGACTCTCAGCCAGGGGAAGGAGGATGAGGGGGGAGGGGAGGAGACAAGTAGTTTTCCCGCGAATGGTGGCTTTTGATACGAATTGTCAAAACGGTGGGTGGGATATTCGTGCTTAGTCGCTGGCTGCGCAAACTCCGTGCGAGCGTTCAGCCTTCTTTCCGGAGCCCTGTGGCAACAGGATGGGCACCGATACCCAGGAAAATCGAAGAAACTAAAGACACCCGCCGTATGGAGCAACAGGAGAGACGTGCCAAAGGTTCAACAGGGGAGTGCGTCCACCTACCTAGGCGACGCATGGTGGAACCGCTATGGACACTAAGAACTGGTGAGCAGGAGGCCCCGTTGGTCAAACCACTGTGCCTCCCCAAGCACGTGTTCCCCCATTCCTGGTTGTATCCCCCCCTTCCGGCGTCTTGGCCACATCGTGTCCTGTTCCACTCATTACCAGGTTAGAGAGAGCACAGGCAACGCTGGGTCGGAAAGCTGGTTTCTCCATGCTCTAACCAATGTGGTTGTTGCGAGGGGGGGATTTATCCATATCCACCGCCCGGGAAACGACGTCCTGGTTCCCCAGCGGGCGGTGGATATGTATATGCATATGTATATGTATATGTATATGTATATGTATGTATGTGTACATGTATATATATCCCCCGAAGGCCCGAGTATGTCCATATCCACTGCCTGCCGAGGTCCCCGAAAATTGATCCTCCAGGCGGTGGCCATGTATAAACATCAGCCTCGGAGTTGTTCTGTCGATTGACATTACCCGTTGTCCACACACACACACACACACTTGTTTGACGGACGTCTCGACCGTGGCGTGCTGCCTTCGCCTCGTGGCTGTCTGGGTGGGTGGCCAGGGTAGTTGCGCAGGCCCCCCATGTGAAACGTGAAGCGCTGCTCGCAGTAACCCCATGCTCGATGACAACCCTCACCTACGTCCGCTCTGGTGGCCTCATACATTGTGGGGCTTGCAAGGTTCCACGCCCAAGGAACGGGCTCAAGGGAACGTGGGGAACGGTCTCCCAAGGACTACAGTTGTGTTCCTGGCTGCGGCATGGAAGCTCGGCTTTCTGGCTGTGGTGAAATATCCCGCCCCCCACCAAACATCGCTCCAATGCTCCAAGCACTCGGTTGCGCATCCTGAGTAGACGTGCGAGGCAGGTTGGAACAAGGTCAAAGGCCCCACTCAGTAGATCAGTACATGTATTAGCAGAGTTCCAAGCTACTCACTTCCTTGTTGGGAATCCTTGTCCCCATGATGGGCCACATGATTCGTGAGCTGCCCAGCCATGGGCGTTGTCGGTACAAGGCCCACGCGCAGGCCTTCGAGGGTCGGGAAACTGCTGAGGCTTGGAACGCCGCTGCGGCCAAGACTAACTATTATCTCTGAGGTTTGTCGTTTCCTGTCCCAGCGTCTCTGTGTGACAGTTCGGGTGAACCATGGGCCCCCTCCTGATGTGGCTGGACGAGGATACGGCAATCGCGCTGCGAGAAAGAACGCTGTCTAAGGAACGAAGGGGCGCTTCGGGCCCAAGCGAACCTCGGCCACGAACCGACCCAGATTTCAAGGAAGGGCCCCAAGAGCAGAGCGTCTCCTGCACCCCAGATGGCCCGTATTTCACCGTTTTGCCTGCACATCGCCATGCTGTACACCCGAGAACCTTTGTGTTGATATCCAACGTGGTCGTTCTTTTGCTCAGATGGTATAGTCCTATCCTCCCTTATCAACTCTCGCACACACAATCGGGGAATAACTTGTGCTTGACTCATGCGTTGCTACGCTGTGGTGCGCGCGGCACCACCCAGTCCTCGCTGAACGGCATAGCATGTTTTGCTGTGGCTGGGCTGCGCGCGACACATACATTCGCAGTGACCGGGTGAAGGGTAGATTGTTCGATTCCAAGTGTCTCACCCGAGGTCTCGGTAACCCTGTGAATTATCAGCTCGCCAGCCCTGCACATTGGACCCCTGGGTTAGTGATTGGATGTCCTGTGGTACCTGTGTGTGTAGCAGAAGAGTTGCGGCTTGCGGCGCTAAGATTACTGTACGGGTCTGCCGCCTATAACGCCGCTCACCGCACCGACTCCTGCGCAAGACTGGAACTGATGGACTGTGCATGTCAGGGGGGAACCACCGATCCACTGATGAAGCCTGCCCGCTGCCACGGTCGCAACATGAGTTGTCTCTTCTAACGCTCTCTACTTTCCTGCATCTGTTGGTATTCAGACTCATCCCTCGGTGCCCGACCCAGCGACCGAGGGGGAGGAGGGGGAACAAGGACAAGGCAAGGGCCCGATGTTTTTTGAAGTGATCATGGACACGGCCTGCTCTAGAGGTGTCTTGGAAAGCTCAGGAATGATCTAGAGGTTTGGGGAGAAGGCCAGGAGGTTGGGAAGAACAACGGGGCCGATCCCAAAACGCGCCCCCGCATCGAACGCGGCGCTGGGCGCGCGACCAAGCATCATATCGAGAGCGGAGGGCGGGTTCCAGGTCGAGAGACGGATCGAGTGCAGGCAGGAGCTTGAGCGACGCAGAACAGAGCGCACTGCGCACGAGGACGCGGTGACTCTGCCAGGGGACTCACGCAGGCTGCTAACGCAGCAAGCCGCGAGACGAAGGGAAACACGCACGCGCGACCTGCGCGGGAAGCATACGCGTGAATACCCGCGCAATCGACCACCTTCTTTCAAGTCGCGCAAGTGGAACTCGGTCGAACTCGACTCCATGTTGGGTCGAGGATCGATCGAGAGTTGGAAGCCTGCAGCTGGTCGAGAGTTGTGGGTCGATGGGGCGATCGGCATGGAAAGCGAGCGGTCGAGGTGAAGGCAAGGGTCGATAGAGCGCCTGGCCAAGTCGAGACAGCATAATGCCGAGGCCATGATCCAGAAGATTTTGGCACATGACGCCATGACCAATTTTACGCCCAACTATGAGGCACACCGTGGGCCAACAGTCTGCGTAGAGCCCGTGCGCGCACCGGGATTAGCATCGGGTCTAGGTTTATCACACATAGGCGCAACTTCGCATCGAGCTGGCACGAGCCATGAAAGGGCATTTCTGATGGCTCACGCGCATCATATGCTTAGCATGGCGCTGAACTCGGCGATATGTGAACACATTGCCACATATACTTCGCAATCGCTCTCTCGCCACCTGCCTCGTCCCGCTTTCCCCGAATCGGCGTGACATGCGGTCCTATGGCGTCCCCACAGAGAATCATGATGAAGTTGTCCGCAAAGCCGAAGCCGAAGAACGGCACCGCCACGAAAGCAGAGAGCGCGAGCAACTGCTTCGGCTTCGGACGGGCATCCTGATCCGCGCAACGAGCAGGAATTGCAGCGGCAGCAGCTGCAGCGGCAACAACAACACTGCGACACTGGCTGCCCGTCAGCCGATCGTGAGCGACACCACGTCCACATGGCAATATATGATCCAGGGTCGAGGGCCCACGGGCCCCCCCCGCCCCAGATGGTATGGTCCCAGGATTCCTCGGCCCCCCCCCCAGATGGTATGGTCCCAGAGACGACGACGACGACGACGACGACGACGGCGACGACTACGACGACGGCGACGACGGCGACGACGACGGCGACGACTACCACGACGACGACAACGACGGCTGCGGCGGCGACGACGCCGGCGGCGGCGGCGACGACGATGACGACGATGACGACGGCGACGACGACGACGGCGACGACGACGACGATGACGACGACGACGACGACGACGAGGACGACGAGGACGACGAGGACGATGAGGACGACGACGACGACGACGACGACGACCTCTGAACCACCACAGCACCACACCACGTCCACAGGGGGGGGGGGAGGGGGGCACCGCAGCGCAGCACCACACCACGCCCACCTCTGAACCACCACAGCACCACACCACATCCCCAGGGGGGGGGGGAACCGCAGCGCAGCACCACGCCACGCCCACAGGGGGGGGCGGGGGGGACCATCGCGCGGAGGGGGGGGCCCAATGGCATCAGCATTGGGGGGGGGGGGGCCCAAGCCCTGGACCATATATAATGGCTCCCCGTCAGCCGATCGTGAGCGACACCACGTCCACATGGCAATACATAGTGGCTCCCGAATAGCTGAGGACTCCTCCGTTCGTGTCTCTTTGGGGGTACACGGTCGAGATCTTTTGCATAGCGTGTCGCGGGGGCGGCCTCACCGACACGGTATGCCTTGCAAGCGGATGGCATGTCGCTCCGCTCCGCGGGGCGAGAAGCCGGGAAAGGTTCGGGATGGTGATGCTTGGAGGCTGTGACGTGGTTAGCGTATCGTGCCGAAGCATGGTGGGCCAGAACCAGCGCAGCGACACGCTAAACACGAGTTCCTGACCGTGCCGCCGTTTTCCTCTGGCTGCTTCCGCCGAGCTTCCGCCGGCCCAAACCACCCCCCCGCTGCCCTGCACCTGCAAGCCGTCACTCACATGCAAAGATGATGCAGGAGAAAGGCGAGGTGCCTTTGGGAGGGAAAAGGGGGAGGAGGAGGAGCCAAAAAAGGGAAAGGCACAATCGCACGACAGACGTCCCACTCGTCGGCGCGTGTAGGGCTGAAAGAATCGAGATCGGATCAGACCTCGCAAATTGGATGATTGGGCGGTTTGCTCGGGAGGAGCCCGTCAGAGAAAGAGAGTCAGAGAGGCAAGGCGAGGCGAGGCGAGGCGAGGCGAGGCACGCGCTCCGCCGCCCCCGAGGCCCGAGCCTCCACGAGGCCCCTGGAGCGCATTTTCGCCTCCCACCGGATCTTCCGCTCGTTGTCCAGGCTGTTGATGAGATCGGTGTAGAGCAAGCTGAACCCGAGGTCCCCGACGAAAATCGCGGGGGGCGGGCAGGGCTGCGCCGCACTATCTCCCTCGCCCTCCACATCCTCGTCCTCCTCCTCATCCTCCTCCTCCTGCTCCTCCTCCCCCGCCCATTCCTCATCCTCTTCACTGTCCTCATCCGCCTGCCCTTGGTCTTCGTCCTCATCCTCCCCCAGTTTCTCCATCCTATTCCTCATCATCACCACCACCACCAGCAACATGTAATGCCATTACCCTCGCCACCATCATCATCGTCACTGTCACCAACACCACCAATATGGTCGTCAATGTCATCACCGTCATCTCCATTATCATCACCATAATCATAAGCATAGCCCAGCATAAGCAACATCGTCATACTCGCCAACAACATCATCACCACCACCATCATCATCGTCGTAATCAGAAGCATCATCATAAACAACAGACGAACACCGATGATGCTTTCCTTCTCGTCGTAGGGCAGCCAGCCCAGTATGTGTCGTTGTAGACGTCCATGTGCGTGGGCTTACGCTGCCTGCCATAAAGCCAGACTGCCCCCTGATGTATCGGGCGTAGCGCTCGAGCATCTGGCCGTGTCGAACCGTGGGCTTGGCCATGATTCGTGCACACTCCTTGGCTGCGTACTGCACCTCAGGCCTGTCCAGCGTGAGGTTAGCCAGGCGCGTGCGCGGGGAGCGGAACTCCGTGAGTTCCTCCTTGTCCAGCTCGCGCTCCACCTCTCGTGCGATGGCCACCTTGACGCCGGGCGAGCTGAGCGGCTTCTTGCTCTCACCGTCAAGCCGGAGCTGGGACAGGAGGATCTGGACATGTCGCGGATCAGCTTGATACTCGATGGCCTCGCCCCCTGGAGCCCACTGGTCGCGCCACTTGATCGTCCGAGTCCGGCGCGCGATCTTCTTGAGGTCCTGCGACTCTAGCCCTAGCACGCCGCGGTCCTTCGCGATGAACTTGGTGCTGAGCTGGTCCGTCACCCAGGCGGGGGTCTCGCGGCCTCTCTCGGTGACGAAGTCGGCGCCATGGTGGAAGAGGCCCAGGCGCTCCTCTTCGCGCAGGTAGACGCACGGGCTGAAGACGCCCTGCTGGAAGCCACCTCTCTGCAGCACCTCCGTGGTCGTCAGCTCGAAGTTCTGACGGGCATCACGGGCGCCGTAGAGGGTCATCAAGAGCCTGCCACAGATGCCGCCCTCAACGCTGCGAGGGTCCTTTTCTGGAAGGCGGATATGCGCCGCCCGCTTGGTCTCGCAGCGAGGGTGAGCACGTGAAGTGCCCGGGAAATGGAGGCGCCGGCACTCGGCCGGATCGCTCGACGCGGCCGCAGAGCACACGAGCCGCCAGCGTTCCAGGGGAAGTGTGTTTGCGAAGACGGCGCCGACGTCACCCGGCGCGATTGTGCTCTGGGCCCGCGTCTCTTGCGCCGCGATCCTGCCCCTGTGGTCTGGGCGATCGTGGTTGTTCTTATCCGCGTCAACCAAGCGTGCGCCTAAGGGCCTTCGCCCTGTGTTTCGCGTGTACTCCTCGACTGCGCTGTGCTCCCAGAAGCCGCGGTCGCCGCGCTTGGCCACGAAATCCATCTCGGCGCCGCGCCCTGCTCGGAAGAGGTCGGGGTCCATCCCCGGGCCGGCGAGGTCGTCGTAGAACTCGCTCTTCATCGAGTCCCGCCACTGGCCCGCGAAGTTCCACAGGCCCAGCTCCTCGTCGTCCACGCGCGGGCCGCCGCCCAGCACGCCGATCGCCAGGTCGGGCCGCCGCTGGATGTGCTTCTTGAGGCCGCGCAGCATGGCCTCCAAGAGCTGCGGGGCGCAGCGCCCAGCGGCGCGCGCGCGCCCCCGCCGACGAGGGCGCCGCGCTGGCGAGGCGAGCCGACCCCCGAGTCGCTCGGGCAAACCTTTCGCACCTCGCCGAGGAGGCATCTGCTCATCAATTGCGTCGGCTTCTTCGCCTGCAGACCCCCGCGCGGCGCGACGAGCCCGAGCGCACGTCGGTCGCCGCGGCGCACCGCGACGCCGAAAGTCTGGAGCAAGTCGACGATGACATCGAGCCCGCGCCGTAGCCGCCCACGGGCGCTCGCGGAAGGACGTCGACGTCGCCCCCTGCCGACCGGATGCCGTAGATGTCGCGCGCGAAGCTCAGGTGCTCGCAGCCGATCTCGCAGTCGTCGACGCACTGCTGCGCGACGGGGCCCAAGTGCCGGAGGTTCGAGAACGGGGCGCGCGCGGGGCACCCGAGGGCCAAGACCGGCTCATGGCGCTTGATCAGCTCCAAGCACTTCGCCCGCTTACGCTTGTCGCTCAGGTTCCAGCCGGCGCGCGAGCCGGGGCGGCCGCCGCGCGCTAACCCGAGCAGCTGACAGAAGGGCGCGAGCCGCCCTGGCATGAAAACCTCCACAACGTCAGTTCACTCCACGCCGTTGCGCCCGAGGCTCCGGGTCAAAGCCGAGAAGTCGCCCGTGGGATCATCATCCGGCACTGGTGCGCCGACGCGCATGGCGGCAGGCCCTGGCGCGCAAGGCGCAACTGCCGCTGGCGACGAGGAGGCTGCCATCGCTGGAGTCGAAGGGACAGCCCCAGCAAGGGTCGAAGGAGCCCCCCCCCGAGCGCCTGGCACGCCTGCGCTCGCGCGCCGACTCGAGCTGCACTGCCGGCGACCCCCCCCTGGCCATCCCCGCCTCAATGCGTGACCGGCAGTCCGCCAAGTGCGCCCGAGCTCGCGCGCCGAGCTCAGCTGCTGCGCAGCCGGGACAGCCTGCGGTGAAGCCGTGCCGCGCGAGCTCCACGTCCTTCCTGATGTAGGCGCTCTTCGGTCCTGAAGGCCCACCTGCCGAAGCCCGAAGCGGCAGCTGCTCCTGCGGCGCCGCCGGGCCCATCGGGGCCCGCGCAGCGTCGGGGGCCTTTGGGCGACTGGTCGGCGCGCGGATCTCGATCGGCACCTCGTCGCTTGGGTCAGCGGGGACTGGTGCCCAGGGCGTGCCCGTGATATTGTCGAATCGGCCGCCATCGCGCCTGTCGACCTCTAGCAGCCGCTTGACCGCGCGCGCGGATGACACCCGGCGCCGTGCCGATGCTCGCCTCATCGGAGCGCGTGGTCGGGCTGATATCGATGCCCTCGCCGAACTTGTCCACCAGTGTAGACGGGGACTTGCCTGCCAGAAGGTAGAGCGCCACCTCCCCGAACGGTGGGGGCTGCTTGCCGAGGGCCCTGCCATGCCTGGGCCCCCGCGCGGCCCTGCCGTCTGGCCCGCGCCTCCCAAGGCCGATAGTCATGGCGCTGTCCTCCACGAGCCATGGGAGGGCAGGGCGCTCGGTGCCAGTGGTGGCGTCGCGCTGCGCCTCGGTCGCGGACTCGATCGCCCTGCGCTTCCCAATGATCTAGCAGACAGCGCGTTCCCCGAAGCCGTTGCCCTGCGAGTCGCCGGCTGCGGACTCTGCGGGGGCGCATCATGGCCATCGGACTCGGCTCGTTGTCCGACCTGAAGACGAAGCGCCGATGCCCTGCAGCTGCGGGCTTGCCGGCCCAGGCCTTCGCCGGCCAGATGTGGGCCGCGCCCTTCGATGGCGTGAACGTCGCGTGCCACCTGCGCTTCTGGCCCTTCCCGGGCAGCAGCGGGGGGCGGTCGTCCTCGGCCGCGCCGAGGTAGCCGTAGTCGATCGAAGGCCGTCGCCGCCGCGAGGGCGGCCCCCCTCTGGTCGTCGTGGTTGCGGCTGGCCGCGGGCCCCCTGCCCGAGACGCAGTCGCGGCGCCGCGCGCGGTAAGGCTCGCGCAACAAATCGTGCGCGGCACCCTCCGCCGCTGAAAGCTCGTCAGGCGCCCGAGCGGGGCGCGCTGGCTCGCCGGCCTCCGCCGCCCCCCGAGCAAGGCTGGCGTCGCCCTCGCCATCGGCCGCCGCCTCCAGAGGGCAGAGGTGGGCCGCGTGCGCCCCCGCCGCTGGCATCGCCTACAGGTCCATCTCGTAGACGCGGCTCCTGCGGGCAGCCCGCCGCAACTGGCCGCTGGGCTTGTGGCAGACGTGCGCGGCGTCGTGGTCGCCGTCCTCGTCGAACGCCGCGCGGTGCCCAGCGTCGACCATCTCTGCGACGCTCATCGGCGCCCGCGAGACGTTGGGCACCCTGAACTTGGCGTCTGCCAGCGCGCCCGACCCCGTCGGCGCACCGACGGCCGTGCGCTCGCCCTGGTCGGACTTCGCGGCCGCTCGCCCTCTCGCGCGCTGCCGCGTTGCCGTCGCGCTGCCTCTTGAAGGGTAATCCGAGCACGACGAAGGGGGAAGCGCCGAGGTCGCTCCGCAGCTGTCGATGCGAATCCGATGAGGCTCGCAAGCTGCGCCCCTGGCCGAGCAATCTCGGGCGCGTCGAGCACGCGGGGCCCGGCGAAATGGGCCGGGGGCGCGCCGATGTCCTCGTGCAGGGCAGCGAGGTAGACAGCCGCGATTCTGCGTGTCGGGGCGGCCCCAGGGGGGTCGCCCATGGCCGAGGGCGAGGCGTGCAATTTTGGCGGGTCGCGCAAGCCGTGCTCGCCGTGCTGGGAAGACTAAATTGCGCGGGGATGCCTGCGGCGCTCACACTTGCCAGCGTCGCTTCCCCGCTGCTGACCAAGCCCCTCCCCCGCGGCGCGGTTCGGGCAGTCGCGCTGTCAGTGGCCAGAGCCGCCGCAGGTCTAGCACGCGACGCTGCCCTGCCTGCTCTGGGTCTGACCAGAGTTCCAGGCGTGGACCAGCGCGCGCTTTGCCCTTGGCCTTGCCACGGCTTGTGTGCTTGGGGTCGTTGGTCTTGCCCTTGGACCCCATGCCCTTGCCGCCGTGGCTGCTCATGTTGTCCTTGCCTGTGCCATGACCCTTGGGCACCTGACCCATGGGGCTCTTGCCGTTGTTCAGCGCGCTCAGGTCCATGGGCGCCGGGCCAATGGCAGCCCGGGTTCGGCGGATGTCGGTGGTCTCGCGCCTGGAGACCTGCCGCTGCTGGAATGCCGATGCCACGTCTTCGTCCTTTACGTCC